TGATCGACGCTTTGGACAAAGACACCGATCAATCAGTATATGGTTAATACTCTTTTTCCCAACACCAAAGAAATTCACTGCAGGAAGACCGTGGATCAGGGGTTTGTTACTCGAACTCCGGGGCCAAGGAAAAAGAAATTTATAGTTAGTAGTGGGTGGTGGGGAAGAGCAGAGGACGGGAGGGCATCTTTTTTTACCATTCTTGGTATGAGTTGAATATGCCTCCGTATTCGCCATGTAGAGGGGAGAATATTCATAGATGGTGAAGAGGAAAATATAAAAAACAAGATTAACACAAGAAGGATAATAATAATCCCCACAAGTTGCGCCGGCATATGTGAGAAAGAGAAAATGGAGAAAAAGGGCGAAAAAGAAAAAGTAAATCACGGCATGCACCCTTTCTTGTGAGCTGAGGAAGGAACGCAGAACAAGAGTATGTCCTCATCCAATGCACCATTCTATATGTTTGGATGTAAAAGTAAATAACAGAAGGGGAGACCAATCGAAGGGCTTGCTGGCTGTTTTTGCTTTTTTTTTTTTTTTTTTTTTTTTTTTTTGTGTTTTTCAAGGCACTCAGAGGCATCGTTTGACATATAGTTGCCATCATATTAGGTCATATGTACTCGTGGAAGGTTTCATTGCTGGGGTTCAAATATGGTCTGACAAGCCCTGCGTGTAGTTGGGGGTGGGTCGTGTATGCTGCAACTGATTCGTGATAGGGAATAGAGACAATCGGGTAGGCTTGACTGCATCCAGCCAGATGGCGCAATTGGGCAGTTACAGAGGCTGGCTGGCGGTGATGATGGTGGTGCTGCAACTGTTCTTGTTGTTGTCTTTCCAGAAGTGCTTGACGGTGCTGTTGTTGTCTTCGACACCCGTCCTCTCGATGTCTATCTCTCATTAGCATTGGTTTCACGGTATACATAGAGAACACAATATTACCGTCGCAACGTATCCTGTCGAGCAAAGCGATGCCCGCACTGGTCGCAGCCAAACCGTTTTAATTTCTTATGCACCTGAAGGGGAAAAGGGCCAGTTAGCATCCAGTACATTAGGGGGACTGCGTCTTTATGGACTCACACTATCAATATGCCGGATAAGATCAGTCTTGCGGCTGAACTTGTTGCTACACTGACCGATCGTGCATTTATGAGGGTATCTTCGGTTGGGGTCATGTATCTTCATGTGTGATCTGCAGTTTGAATTCCGTGTAAACTGCCTTCCACACTGTTCGCATTCGTATTTCCCATTCCCATTATCTAGTGATCTCTTTTTCTTTGGGGGAATTTTCATATCAGGAGATGACAGGTCAAGTTCAGAAGTTCGTTTGCCTACCACCTTGTTACAGTCCGAGGTTCGCAGGGGGGAACGACGAGGCTTTCTCTGGCTGTGAATGGGAGTTGAGGTAAGAACTGGGGTGTTTATTTCACGAAGTTGTCTTGCAGGGGCAGGAGAACCAATCTGTTGATGAAATAAGGGAAGGTCTTCCATGCTCAAGAAGGCTTGCTTTGCGGCGTTGTCGTTTGCTATTATCTCCCAGCCATCACTCATACCCTCATTAAGGATCTGTGGGGATTGAGTCGGGCTTGGGGACACCCCATAGTTCGACGACATGTCAGGTGCATAGATGTTGGACTGGATAGTTGAGCTGCTTTCGACTTTCATCAAGGGAACAGGACTTAGGAAACCAGCCGAAGAAGTATCAACATGTGTACTTGGAACACCAAAGGAGGAAATTGATGCATTAGGCACAACCTGTAGGCTGTCGTATACTGATAGTATGGGATAGGTAACCATGCTAGAAGAGGTGTTCGGAAAGCAGTGGCCAGCACTTGGCTCTCCGTGCCATCCTTGGGCGACTTGAAGCATGGATTGGGATGGCGAGCAGATGGACACCGAGGATCCGGTCGGTGGAATAGAACAATTCAGTAGACCAAGGCCAGTGGCTAACGAAGATTGAAGGGAGGTTGAGTCCGTTTGAGTGCAGCTCTGGGGCGTTGTAGGATAACTGGAGGATTGTTGGTGCATCGTAGAAACGTAACGAGGAGAGGAGACGTTGTATGAGTTGGCTGCGCGTTGTCTGTCTTGCTCAACAGGAATCTAAGCTATGAAGACATCTGAGTCTTCATGGGTCTTTTAAGTATTATGAAAGTTTTCACTGTATTATTGAATTGGGGAGAGAAGAGGGTATTCAAACGCAGGAAAGTATAATGATATATATATATACATATATATACATATATATATCTGTCAGGTCTGCGTGCAAGCCAAAATGGAGGATCGACGCCATAGGGACCAAAGTGACCTTGTCTAAATCAGGCAAGCTGCAAGAGCGCAGGCTTGGAGAATGCTCCCACATAATCCAAGGCTGATTTTCTGATTTAGACCATGAACGTACTGTAGCAGCGGCATACTATGAAGTTGCGGTTCTCCGGGCTACTGAGGCATGCAAATCCTTGTGGAGAAGCAATGGGAAAAAGGAAAAAAGAGTAAAAAAGGAATGAAAAGAAAAATGATAGAAAGCGAGCAGCAGGGGGCAGACGACTGTGCAACTGCAAGGTGTCAGCCATCATCCGGCCAACAAGGGAAATATTTTCACAGGAATTGCAAAAAAAAAAAAAAAAAAAAAAAAAAAAAAACGAGCATAAAAAGCAAAGCTGATTTTCTCTCAAGGGTTTGTCGAGGTTGGGTGACAAAATGATGGCCGTCGAACCCGAGTGACTGGATTGGGGCTTGCAACTAATCCTTGGCCCCCTATCACTCAACCCTGTAAATCCCGAGGCATAGCCTTGGGAGAATTAAAGGCGGACAAGGGACTGAGGGAGCAAAAAGACGATCGTGAGGGTCGATAGGTACGGTAAACGTGATGTGTGGCTGCCAAAGGGCGAATATGGACACCCCGAATATTGGTTGTTCGCTCTAGAGAGCTTACTTTGGTCGAAACTGTACGGGCCTGGGGGCCATTTTTCCCAGATTTCGTGGACACGCTGAAGTAAAATTGCATAAGTAAAAGTTAATCCAGGGAATTTCGTCGTTATGTGACGAGGCGGGGCATTTGGAAGCGAGTTACTGGTCGGTTTGTAACGCGAGCGGCGTCTATCAAAACACAGCTTTCTGTACACACCCCAGGGGTGAGGCTCACAACGGCTCAGGACAGCTAAACTTTCACTCTTTTCCCTGCTGCATCCTCATGAAGTCATACCTACTATAGCTAGTGATGAAAAGATAGCCTTCCAGGTGCCCAAATGTATCCTCCAAGCAGCCCGAGGTTTTGGCTGCGAGTGTCTTATCATCGCCGATTATTCAATCCCGGTTGTTCTAGACTGTGAAATACTTTTTATGAGTGTTTAGATCACTTGATAGACCCCGTAGCTTCTGGTCAACCGTCAGTGTGTCAACATAGTACGAAGATAAAAATCTGTCTAGAGGCCCTGATGGGACTCAAGGAGTCTGGACGAGGCTCTGACATCAATTACAGCCTCGAAAATAGATAAATCTGCATAGAGTTTGAGGTGAGGTGAGGCGACCCGCAGGTCGACCGCTGCCCGACCTGTTCAGTATATGGGGCTCAGGCTGCGGATGTCAATGTGTGAATATCATGGGTACATGGTTATTTGGGATATCACATGTGATTTTCGGCGAGGTCTGGCTCCGTAGGACTGAGTCAGATACAGCTTTATCGTGGAAATTATGTGCAATCTTTAAAATAATACCGCATGGCCTGACCGAGGAACAGGGAGGTTAGGCGCAAGTGGAGATGACCGGGACAAAAAGACAAGGCGTGGCTGGTGAGTCGAGCATCTTGACATCATCTAGAAGGGGGCTTGAGGCTGTGTTCAGCGCCGATGGTGAGGCGGACGTTGTGTGTTCTAGGGCCGGGGAGAAATATTTTGGCCGCAGGAGCTGCTCCGGTTGAGCGCTGTGTGTAGGAAGACAGGTCCTATACCAAGGGATACCGTATCCAACATAGCCCCTTTCCTCAAAAGCAGGATTTTCCTGTTATGAAACGAGGTGCAGAATAAAAAAGCACCCTGCCCTGCACAAGAGGCCCAACATGGCCGTGTAAGAACGGTACGAAATAAAATGGTATAGCTCGCAAAATGCAACCACTAAGCAACTGGGGGCGTCGTTGATTATTGCTAATCAACGATGACGGATGGAAGGGAAAAGGGAATTGAGCGATACTGGCCGGTAAGGCTCTGACCTACCGATGATTTTTGCCAGAAAGGTAGTAGAACGATACTGCTTCTCCAGGGACAGCAGTGTCGAGTTGATAATCGTGATCTCTTGCAGATGCGTCCTCGACCTTGGCGTGTCATACCCCCTGCTCGAAGCCAATCGGAAGATGCTTGGCTCTGCAAGAAGTATTTAGCGCCTATGCGAATCTTGCCGCGATAGCCAATCGATTTTCCAAGACCACCCCTGTAATTTCAATTAAGGCCAGGAGAGCCGCGTTGGTCAGGGCCCATGTTGGTGGGCCTTTGGAAAAAAGGAGCGCTCTCGTCCAATCGATTCAGCCACCAAATCAATCGCATAGAAGGACCCCCTAACCGAGTCACAGTCACAGTCAGAATCCCATATTTTTTGTCCTCACGTACGGAGGACTGGCCATGAGAGTTCTTCCACGTTCATCTCCTGAGGCTGAGCCGTAAGCCCCGCATACTTCAATCAAGTCGCTTTTCGCCCGTATAGTCATCGTTGTGTTTCGTTGTAGCGCTACTTAGTAGCTGAAGTGCTGTCCTTTCGGTACTAAACGGGCGGTCAAGCTTCGGCGGCGGCAGGCAGCTATCTTTCGGGGGACAGGAGTAAGCCCGGGAATCTTGTGTCTAAGCCACGGCACATACACGAATTGAGTGGTTAACTACCACATGCAGGTGGAATATTACCGTCCGAAAGCCTCCTTTTGGTAATTTCCTGAATCATAGTCCAGCGCATATCCTCGAAAGGAGCTAGCCTAGCACGACTGGGAGAGGCCCTGGAGCCAACATGGAGTCGATACATCCTAAACAGCTAGTCAACCCCAGGGTATGTGCGTAGGTACATCCGTATAAGCCAGTTTCTTCGAGGCGGTGCACATGCCCAGACCCTCAGGCAGAGAATTTGAGCCGCTTCATATACAGGTTAAGGCCCGGGAAAACGGACAAAGACATACAACATCCCTACCGTAATAAGTCCAATATTGTTGATAGGCCTGTTTGTCTGTCGGAGATTGCCGCAAGCTTCATTCGGAATTTTGAAATTCGGTCAAAGCCGTAGGTTAGTTAGGGACCATGTTCGTTTCACAGCAGACCTCGCAGGGCACTTTAGGCAAAATTTTTGCAAATAGCAATGCAAGCTCTGCTGCATCTGAGGATGGGCCTGGGGATGTCCGATGTCGCGCTGTGGAGGTTGTTGGCGGTGGTCAAGAGTAGTTCAAGCCGTTTGAAGTGAATTAACTAAGTCAGGACCCCTCTAGAGGATGGTAGGCAATGTTTGACAAGTGTATGCAGGCTTGCAGAAACATGCAGGGAGTACACAGAACAATACGCCGTGCCCGAGTGTCTGCCCGCTTTGCAGCATGGTTGAGTAATCCGGTCGATGCTGCAGATTTCGCACAAACCACATACGTGAGTACTTAAGAGCGGGACGTGAATGTGACTGCCTGCCTGGGTTGGAGGGTGACTTGACATGAAGGCGCTGCATATTTTCGCATCTTGTGCGAGTAGGAATTGGCAAACCAAGCCCCGACAGAACAATTGGATATTGATGTCTCCTTCAAGTGGATAGCGGCGCTTGCTGAGGTGCATTTATGGAATTTAACAATTCAACCCGTCACCGCCAACCAACCATTTAAATGAAGAAACATGGGAAGTACCTAATTATAGTGAGCAAGTGAGAAACACATGGGTTAATTTGCTGTAACGCATACCAGAGCAGACAACTGTTAAAAATATATTCTCCATGCGGACGCAGTGGGCGGCACAGGTGTGGCCAAATTGGGCAAATGCCGTACACCCTGGGCTATTAAATGCATTCAATAGTCCAGTAAGGCATTGAAGAACTTTTGAGAAGTCTCTGGAAGCTCGTCATAGGCATTTATTCACCACAAGTCCACCAGGGTAGGGGTTAAAATAGAAACACCTTCTGAAACGTGGTAAGGGATACCCACGCATGAAGTGTGCCAAACCGGCAATGCCATCCAGTCATGGGAACCTATATATAGAGAACCTATGTCAATATGTAATATGCAAATATATGTTATACATATGCGCTATACAACCGGACTTTGTAAAAATGGCGCTAAATTAATATGAAAATCAAAGATAAACGTACATCAAAGTGAAATGGAGATCCAGACTCGCAGTAGAAAAACAATAATTATAGTAACAAACCAGTACATACCAAATATAGAGTCATTCCCACGGCGTAGGAGTCATCAGTATTCTCTCAAAAGGCTCTCAATGTATGTGGTGTCATGGATAGATAGGTAGCAGCTTGGGGTATCAAATATTGCTGCTTCAGTGTGCATGGTCTTGTAGCTGCACCATCACATACATCTATGGGGGACAACAAAAGAAGAAAGACACAGCTATCACTACCAAATCCCGGGTACTGTTCCTCTTCTTCAGGAGTCAGTTCTGGCCACCCCTTTAAATGGCCGTCAAAACGTCAACATCGATTCATGATTTTTAATCTTTTGGTGAGAAAAAACTTTGATGAGGATTTCAGCCACAGCTTGACGCCACACCTGCTCCACCAGCCGCAACTTTAAAATCTATTATATAATCTAGCCGTCACTAGCCACGACTATATTATGTAATCACATGTCCAACGTCAACTGAACAGCTGGAAGGACGACGGCGAGACAGCAAACAAACAAGCCAGGTGGTTGATGAGACAAGGAGGAGTTGTTTGTGGAGGTTTTCTAGCACCGTTTTATAAGAAATATAACCCCATATATGCTGTGGATTCTCCTGTGATTCCCTGCTTATTCCTTTACATGAAATCATAGCGATGCCTGACCGATCAACATGGGTCAAGGCTACTCACTTACCTCGCTCTCTGCAGGCTCCGCCGGCATCGACGTCCCAGAGCTTGCAGACCTCACCTATGAGAGATCCCTGGGAACTGCTAGGTTTATGAAAAGTATTCGTGCCCGACATCGAGATGGCCTGGCTTTCGTTAAAGTTATCATGAAACCATACCCAAGCCTCAAGCTAGACCCATACGTCAGAGCTATCATGCGTATGTTCAGAGAGCACATATTCCGTGGTATATTCAATGTACAGTATGTACTAACTGTAGTCAATATATAGGCGAGCGGAGGCTGCTGGAAGGCGTCCCTAATGCGCTTGGATACCAGCGGATACTGGAAACTAGCACTGGAGGCTACCTTGTCCGCCAGTATATTTACAGTTCACTCTATGATAGATTGAGGTCGGTGATGTTATTCTATTCTAAGAAACGTATACTCCTTTTTTCTGGCTCATAGCTAACCTTGAAAAGCACTCGTCCGTTCTTGGAAGATATTGAGAAGAAGTGGATAGCGTTCCAGCTCTTATGCTCACTTAGGGACTGTCATGCCCAGAATGTCTTTCACGGTGATATTAAAACAGAAAATGTTCTTGTAACATCCTGGAACTGGCTATACCTATCCGATTTCTCTTCGTCTTTTAAGCCAACGTTCCTTCCAGAGGATAATCCAGCAGATTTCTCCTTTTATTTCGATACATCTGGCCGAAGAACTTGCTATCTTGCCCCAGAGCGTTTCTTGGAAGCAGGTGAAGACCCAGGCAGCCGCTCAGTGAACTGGGCAATGGACGTTTTTAGCGCCGGCTGCGTTATTGCCGAACTATTTCTTGAAGCTCCTATTTTTACTTTGAGTCAACTCTATAAATACCGAAAGGGGGAGTATAGTCCACAGACCGGACGCCTCATGGAGATCGAGGACTCAGATATCAGAGAGCTAATCCTTCATATGATCCAACTCAACCCTGAGTCACGCTACTCGGCTGAAGAATGCATTAATTTTTGGCGCCGCAAGGCATTTCCAGAGTACTTTTACGGATTTCTCCACCAGTATATGGGATTAATAACCGAACCGTCACCAAGAAGAACACGTGATGCGTCTACCCCGTTGGACTCAAAGGAAGCAGACGAAAGAATTGGCCGTATCTTCGTGGACTTTGACAAGATATCCTACTTTCTCGGTGCTTCTCCTCAGGTTCTACTTGATGGATCTCAAACAGCGTCTCCATCACTAACCCAGCAGCCATTCCCATTGCAACTGGACCTGCCTAAAGTCGGGACTCAGCAAATCTCAAAGCCACTATCAGCCACAGATGATGGAACTCTTATCTTTCTTACCCTTGTTGTTTCGAGCCTACGGAACACGAGTAAATCAACTGCGCGAGTCAAAGCTTGTGATATACTACTTGCGTTCGCTGAAAAGCTCCCAGATGAAGCGAAACTAGACAGAATTCTTCCGTTCGTTATTCTTCTCTTAAACGATCGCTCGGATCATGTCAAAGTTTCAGCAATTAGAACCCTCACACAGCTTCTTGCTATGGTCAGAGTGGTTTCGCCTGTCAACGCCTACGTTGTTCCCGAGTACATCTTCCCGAGACTTCAGCACCTAATCAGTACCCTACCTTCAAATCCTACTCCTATAGTTCGAGCAGCATATGCTTCATGCATAGCCTCTCTGGCACAATCCTCACTCAAAATCCTTGACATGGTCCAGGCGTTGCGTTCTGACGCTCGATTAACGTCTCTCGTACCTTCGGGAGCGGAACGTGGCTGGGAGGAAGAAATATCATATCACAACCTCTACGATGTCGCACGGGTCGACTTGCTCGAATTCTTTGAGGCTCATGCAAAAGCTCTCTTAACCGACCCAGACGTTGTAGTTCGCCGTGCATTTCTTGGCTCGGTTCCAGGGCTCTGTGTCTTCTTTGGAAATCCGAAAGCAAATGAGGTTATCCTCAGCCATCTAAATACCTACCTCAATGATAAAGACTGGATCTTGAAATGCGCATTCTTCGAGACAGTCGTTGGCGTTGCTGCTTATGTCGGCAGTACTTCCCTCGAAGAATTTATTTTACCGTTAATTGTTCAATCCATGACTGATCCTGAGGAGTTTGTGGTCGAGCGCGTATTGCGGTCTCTTGCTAAAATGGCAAAACTTGGTCTATTCCAGCGTTCTACCACCTGGGATCTACTCAGTATCGCAGTTCGGTACTTCATCCACCCAAGTATATGGATACGAGAAGCGGCAGTTAGCTTCGTCGTGGATTCAACTACCTTTTTATCTGCGACTGACAAGTACTGCATTGTCAGCCCTCTGGTTAGGCCATTTCTAAAAACCAATACCATAGACATATCGACTGTTCAGATATTCGACGCACTAAAAAAACCTCTTCCTAAGAATCTTTTCGAGATGCTTCTAGTATGGGCTACTAATGTTGACAAGGGGCTCTTCTGGAAGTCGGTTTCGCAGGACGCAACCTTCTCCCTGAGTGGCTCAAACATACCAAAAATACGGCAACGTGGACTTGTGTCTTCTCTGAGTAATCTACCGCGAAACGAGGAGGATGATCAATGGTTATCTAGGCTGAGAAACATAGGCCTAAATCAGGAGAACGAGTTCAAATTCCTTGCTCTCAAAGAATATATCTGGAGAGTTGCCATAAGAAGGAAGAAGAATACTGATATCGAAAAAGCCACAACCTTTGCAGAGATCATATCGCTAAGTGAGCATGATATCACTCCCCAAACAGTGCTTTTTGACAGAAAACAAGGAGTCAGTCGAAATCGGCATCCGCCAAGGAAGATTCAGCCTGTCCATGGCAGCAGAAGACCACATACAATTGCCGATGCATTGCTAGATGCTTCAACGGCAATTGATTCACCCAGTGATGACAACCAGAGACAAGCAAGGCGTCAAGTACCAGAAGGGCGTGGCTCCAGTGTACCGCCTAGCTTAATTCGTCCAACTGCAACAAGGTGTACTAGAGAAAGCCAGTCACCTACTGTTTCACATCTTTCGTCCTCCCTCAATGGACGGCCTAGCTCACCTAGCTCATCAACTTCACCGCTATCTGATGGCCCTGCCCAGAATGCAACAAATTCAATGGCCGGAACTGATGGAAACGGGCCCATTCAATCCCGCCCTCCTTCGTTACGAGTACCAGGTGGAGATATCAAACGCCGTTCGAGTGCAATAAACCTTCTGAACCGTCAGGAAAATTCTAAAGCAAATGCTGCGATCGCAACCTCTTCTACAAATGTATTTGGGAAAGTTGATGTCCCTCATCAGAGAGATCTTGCTCAACTCTCCAGAACAAGTACCCCGGACCCACAAAATCATGGCACACAAATGCTACGCCCTCGTTTTAAAGCTAACCACACATACCACGGAAATGACCCCACGATCCTAAGGATCCTAGATAACATCTTCGCTGAAAATTACCCTACTGATCTCTTTGATTTTGGACCCGTAGTTCAGCTACCCTCTCAATGCTCGCCCTTGCATGGACCTGGCGGGCAATCTTCAGATAAACCATGGAGGCCACAGGGTGGACTGGTTGCGATGTTTGGAGAGCATACTGGTCCAGTCAACCGGGTAGTGGTTGCTCCGGACCACGCTTTCTTTGTCACAGCCTCCGATGATAGCACGTTGAAAGTCTGGGACACCACTAGACTAGAAAGGAATCTGACTCCACGATCCCGCCAGACGCACCGACATGCCCCTGGGGCCAAAGTAAAATGCGTTACATTTGTTGACAACACTCATACTTTTATCAGTGCAGCTACTGATGGAAGTGTCCATGCAGTGAGGGTGGAGTATCAGAATAATCGTGACGTTATCCGCTACGGAAAATCCCAACTGGTCCGAGAGTACCATATTTCGCCAGCGGATGGCGGAAGCGGCGAGTATGCCGTATGGATAGAGCACTTTAGAACGGATGTACATTCAATTCTTCTCATGGCGACGAACCGATCCCGGATAATCGCGCTGGATTTGAAGTCTATGACTGAAGTTTATACACTCCAAAACCCCATTCGCCATGGTACTCTGACTACATTTTGCCTTGACAGAAAACACAACTGGCTCCTGGTGGGAACGAGCCATGGCATATTAGATCTATGGGATCTCCGGTTCTGTGTACGCGTGAAAGCTTGGGGCTTGCCAGGCGGAACTCCAATCCGGCGCCTTGCTATCCATCCTACCAAGGGCCGAGGCAGATGGGTATGCGTCGTTGGCGGAGGGAACAATGGCTCAGAAGTTCTTGTTTGGGATATCGACAAAGTGCAATGTCGAGAGGTTTATCGAACCGCTGGTGCCTCCAAAGAGCAGACGTCTGCTCCCACTGGTCAGAAAGCGAACATTAATCCTGATATAAGTTGGAAAGCCTATGAGCCATGGAAAGTTGACGAAGATCTTCCTGAAGGCATGCTGGGTCGGTTCGCAACGAATGCCCACCCGTCATCTGCGGGTATAGAACCGGCCGTGACCAGCGAGAACTCCAGTAGCGGTGATAGAAACGCAATATCCGCACTAGCTGTGGGTATCGACTATCTTGATGGCACGGCAGATGGATCTAAATGTGGTTTCGTCTTGACTGCTGGTCTTGATCGAAGTATACGTTTCTGGGATGTGGTGCACCCGGATGCATCACTAGTGGTGAGTAGCCCAGATCTCATCACAGACGGAATTCAGATGCGGCCGAGATATGATACCACTCATCCAACCACTGCTTTGACAATAACATCTGAATGGATCCCCAGTGCTGGCTCAGCACCAACCAGGCAAGGTCCAACTTCCAACAAAAAGTCATATTCGACGAGCACTGGGAATAGTATGCGACCTCCGCGGAGTACCGTCATCAGTTTACAGCAGCAACAGCTGCTAAGAAACCATCTTGATTCTATAAATGATATCGCAATTCTACAGTCTCCATATGCCATGACTGTAAGCGTTGACCGGGCTGGCATGATATATGTATTTCAATAATGTAGAATATCCAAGTCATATGTTTGGTTCTTAACACTTCCATAGCGCGAAATTAGTACCACAATTTTATATTTGTTCATTACATATGGAATGACAACAACCATAGTTGATATTATGTAGATAGTTGTACTGAATATTTTTGATTCGCTTCCTATATGTGGTCTCAAGTGGCATAGAAATATAAATGTAAATAACACATTCACTGAACAGTTAAGGTTAACCGCCATGTGCCCGATAATACAAGAAGCGGAAGGTTATTAAACCTCCTAGGTAGCAAACCAGGATAAAGATGAATAACGGAAAGGTAGCTGCAAATAAGCTTATTGGTTCGCTGGCAAACGCCATCCACCCAACTGATGAGTACTGGAATAAAAGACGAGCTCAGATGGAACAAAAGGAGTGGGTATCTCAGTGCTAGGGAGAGAAAAATCATAAGGAGAGACTTGGAATTTTATGAAAAAGGTCACAGATAAAAGTGTAACAAAATGCTGAGACAAGAAAATGAAAGTGGCTTGCGAGGGCAATCTTCTAGTATATTTATGCAGGGGTTGGTTGAGGTATATGGGAAGGAGCTGAAGATGCAGCCATTGCTTCCATTGCAGCGGAGCGCCTATTGAGTACATCTTCCCTTTTAACGACGTTCCGCAATGCTTCACTAGCCTGAATAAGGCCGTCAATACTAATTGCATGATTAGTCATTTGGTGGTTGAGGTATGAATAAACAGAAGCTGGCGTTGAGCAAGTAGTCAGGAGTTGCTGCTCGTTGAGTTTGAGAAGCGCCAAGGCAACTTGGAAGAAGAATGTGCTTCCCCCTCCATCGCTGTTCGTACTGGTAACGTCTCCGTCGACGGTCGAAATAGATGAGGCAGCCTTTGAAGTAGTAGAGCCACTTGTACCAGTTTCGGCAGGTTCCTGGGCCGACGTTGAAGCCACAGACGAAAAGGTAGTGGGGGCGTTTAGACAGAAGACAACATCCCATACACGGTAGAGGGCTTCTGCTGATAAGCAATCAGTGAAGATCGAAAGGAACCACTGGAAAGTTAAAGCTTCGAGCTCGATACCTAGGTTTTCGAAATGCGCCCATAGATTTGGTAGCAGCTCGGAGACGTACTGGCACAGAACTTGCTGATCTGCCCGCGACGCCACAAGGCCATGATCATAGTAGTGAGGAGGAAGGATATTTTCAATGATCGACGCCAGGACCCAGAATGCATCTTCTGCGGTGGGAAGAATTAAAAGAAGCGAACCGGCAATGAGATTCATGCCTTGACAGTATCCGACGTCTGGATTGCGGCGAGAGTAAGCCAGAAGGACTTCATTCAATCTTGCGACTCCCGGCCCCTTGCGGAAGAATATATTATCTGTCAGGGTGCGGTGAATGTCCATGGCAATTTGGGCAGTTGCTCCGGGATCAGCTTGAGTAGTTATGTGGCCGTTAACAAGGTCGTCATAATATCCTGGCACTCGGAGGGTTGAGGCACCACTGCACTCAGACCAGATCTTAGCACGGTATGCAACTGGGATGCCACCCAGGACAAGGTTTCTAAACTCTCTCCATTTAGCGCGACCAATTTTTCCCTTATTCCCCAGGCCGGCAATTCCGATGACCTCGCCATCTGCCAGCGCTACCTCAGGCATATCACGAGAAGTCTTCGATCGATCAGGCAGGGTCAGTGCAGCAGTGGCTTCGCCTTCCTTTCGTCTTTCGGCACGCACTTTCCGCATAAATTCGTTCCATTTTACGGTTCGTTCTTGCTGCGATGCATCATGCAATTCTGTCAAACGTTGCAGAAGCAGTTTTACAGGTTGCTGTTCGGATATGGAGGTTTCACGGGGTCGAGCCTCTGCACCCGCAAACTCAGCACGGTTTGAGATGACCGTAGATGTGGACGCAGATGGTTGTGCAGAGCTATTCGACATGGGAACCGGGCCGCTCTTCCCAACTGCAACAGAAGATACGCGTGGTTTGGGTTGGGTAATTTGTTCCACTGAGACAACAGGTCCAGCTGCAGGAGTATGTGACAAAAGTTCTGTGGGCCTTGTCGCGGTCTTTAGATAGTCTTGCCATCTTCCAAGTCCAGAACCACTACTGTCTTCACCTGAGTTATCTATCTCTGCAGGGCAGCCCGAGCTGGGAAGCTCCTCAGAAGGCCGGTTCTCATTTGCCTCTCTTTGGCGGCGATTTCTCCGTTGATCGTAGATGAAGCCAAACCGATCAGTGAGCAGATCGCCCGGATTGTACTCTCCATGGATATAGGCAAGCGTAGGAGGGCGAGATTCCATTGGTAGAATTGCATCCATCTCAACAGGACCCAGGTTGGTTGCCTCACTGTCAGGGTGAGCACTTCCGGGGGTTCCTGCACCAGAAGTGCTTTGAACTCTCAGCCGACGCGGCTTCGTTGCGTTGTTCATAGTCGAACTACGCATAGTCGACGAGGCAGACGACCGAGCAGACAATTGTTGTACGCCAGTGGCACCGTTTATCCTGGCTAATGCAGCTAAAGCAGATCCGGCAGGAGTGGATGCCCGAGGCGCAGTGGACGGGTTGCTCTGCCTAAACTCAGGATTTCTTGATGATGCTCGGCTTCGAGCTGTATCTTGATTATCTTTTCCCTTCCCAGCAAAAAGTTTGACAGTCCAGGAAGCTACTGAGTAATTAGAGCGCTGAGAGATGATGCTTCGATCGTCACCATCACCAGTTTTGTATGCTGTTGTCCCGTCGGTAGTAACGCTAGTAGTGTCTACGGCAGCGCCCGGGGGTTGGAAGAGCTGGCCATCGAGTGCTTTGCGTCGGTTTGATGTTGATGTTGGGATTCGAAGTCCATCACCAGCCTCACTCCCGACACTATTTGCTCTGCTTTGTCTCCGGCTGGCGGTTGACGTGCCCCAAATATAGTCCTGCCAACCCCGTCCGGTAGTATTCGTAGGCTTCTTAGACGATCCTGCACTTGAGTTACCAGACTTAGGTTCACTGTCGGTGCGATGGGGTCTGATGGTGGCCTCTAGGTCATCTCGGTGGGACCCTACGCCTTCCAACATTGCCTGATTCATCATATTATCAATAGAGGATGTCAAGCTTCTCTGCCCTGAAGACGGCTCTGTAGAGTCGGTTTTTGAGGTATTTATGGAACCATCCGGTGCGTTTTCGAGCAGATAGAGTCGACGTTCAATATCACGATTCGACACTTCAACTTCACGTAACATCTTCTTCAACTCTCGTTCCCGGTCATCAGCACGCAGCCGTAACGCCGATACTTCCGCATCGCGCAACGCGAGGTCTCTTGCAAACTGCCGTATCAACCTCACGGCTCCGGTCCGAGCTATTAGTCGTTCGATATGGTCATCACTAGCCAGGTGAAGTGCTCCGGGGACATCCAGCGTGGGTGCTGAGTCACTGAACAATGCAGCTCTACCGGAGAGTTGGGGTAAGGTTGTAGTGAGTCCTTCCAGAGTTGCCTTCCTCCCACGCTCAACGTCCGGTTCTTTGTCATTATTCCCGGCGAGCAACGCCCGACTTAGAGCATGGTTCAACGCTGGCTCACCAAAAAATCCTTCCGGTGACCTATCCGGAGACAGAGAAGGGAACGAGGTAAGATCTGTGGCCGTATGCGTTGACGAACATGTGCTCAGACGTTTGATAGGTTTCGAACGGACTGTTTTGCCTCTCTGGCTGCGTATCGATGAGGTAGATGCTTGTGAGGAGGATCGTTTCTGGGCTTGGGCTTGGGCTTGGGCTCGAGCTCGCTCGTGGGGTTCTATAGCTTCTCCCATTCTTCCTACTTTCTTTCATGGAGCCAAAAATGCTGATAATGATAGAGCTTCGATATGGATATGTCCCCCACTGCCCAAAGACGACATGGAACGAGGGGGAGCAGAAGAGTCACGCAGCGGGAAGGAAAGAAGGTCAAGATCGGCTAACAGAAGAGTAATCAAGCTGTTGACTGGTGGACGAAGGTTCGAGTTTCGTAGGAAAGTATACGATCATAGGCAAGGATATGCGGCGGATGTATTCTTTTTTTTTAACGCGGTCTGGCCGTCACAGGTATAAAACTACATGGAAAAAAAACATGAAAACTGGGAAAACCAGGCACTTTTCCAGGCGGCAAACAAGCACACTGCGAATACACTCAGGAAAAAGCTGCGATATCCAGCCCTTCTGGCTGCTATGAATCTCAGGATTTTGGTGAGATGGAAGAGGTGACGTTGGAAAAAGAATAATTAAAAATAAAAATAAAATAAACGAAAATAAGGTCATGGCTGACCGCCTTCCCAAAATGGATCGCCTATGACGTGTGGGATTGTCGGAGTTAAGTTTATTCCGTGGCTTATATAAGCCTTTATTTACCCGACATCCGGCTGCCCGATTCATGGAAGCGTGCTTATAACGCAGATGTTCCCAGGAAGAATCTAATTTTCACTCACTTGGATCAAAAGAGAATATACTAGTTGGATCAGAATTTATTGTGGTCTGGGTAGCTATGCTACCACGTATATACAAAGCTAAAGCCGGTAAGGCACGGCTGAACTGGAAGAAGATCATTAGAATGGCGCGCAAAGGAGAGATAGACTCTAGTTGCGGAACTTGTTCACTTTGCACTCAGCGGTAGCGAACTTCGAAGGGTCCGCCTCTGAGGTAGCAGTGAGAGTGACCTTGGCTTTATCTTGAGCAGAATTTTCGGCGCCAACCGCCACAGAGACAGTGACAGTCTTGCCAAACTCAGCGGTAGCCAGGGCATTTGGAACCTCGACCCTCCAGCCACGGCCCTCAACGGTGGCTTTGAGGCGGTAAACATCAGACTTGAGATATGCAGTAACATCCTGAGGGTGCTTAGCCTTGCCAGCAGCTGGGTTGTAGGTGCCAGTGTTGTGCAGGGTGAAGGAGCAGGTCACACCCTTGTCGGTTGGCTTGGTGTTGCTGGAGATAACCTTTGCGTTCTTATCGAGCTTGACACCGCGCTTATGGGGATCCTTACCGCCGACATAGCGGACAGCAGTGGTGTAGGAGAGGACGCCCACCTCGTCGCGGTGGGGCTCAATAATGTAAAACTGGAGATTGTTGACCTTGTCAGTGTATTCGTACTGGCTACCAGAGCGAGTTCCAGCATGGAACAGAGCATCAGCCAGCTGGCGGTAGTCGCCAAGGCTGATCATGGCGGGTGTGCCGTCTGGGCAGTGGAAGTCAACTTGCTTGATGTCTTGTGGGTTGGCATCAATGGTCCACTGGTAGTTTGAGAACGCTCTGTCCCTGGTCTTGCTGAGCATGACTCCAGAGTCAGGGCAGAAGGAATCAGCGCCCATGCGGTCAATGACTTCGACGTTATAATTTTGGTAATCATTACCATCGCAGTAAATGTCAGTATTGACGTCGCATTTAGGAGACTTGTCCTTGTTCATGGCAACGTGGATTCCGATCAAATCACCAGGCTTAGGTACAATGACACGGGCAGTGACGCGAGCGACAATGAGACCAGACTCAGCCAAGGCCTCACGGGAAATGTTCAGGGCGCTATCCTTTGTGGTTAATCCAAGTCTTATCTTATCATGGAAGGTATGCTGGGACCCCATGGAACCACCCTGAAGTGGAGGGACTTGCCAGCGGGTATGCGGGCCTCCGGGTCCATTGAAGGAGCCGCGAGACATCATAGACCATGGGCCAGTGTAGGAACGGCGGAGCGGTTTGCCGTAGGGATTGTTATAGTTGTCTCCAACATTGAGAAGATGGCTGAGCTCGTGGGCAAAGGTGCCCATTCCAGAGCTTTCAGCCTGGGTAGAGGAACCATCGCCAGCATTTGGCCAGATGGCAGATGCAGAAGCCCACGAGGTCCATTCGACATAGCGAGTTTTAGCATAGTTGGGCAGAGTCATGTTTCCTGTGCCGTTACCTGGTGGAGGGCCAAAGGCAGCAGGGACATCTTCCTTGTTCTGGAACATGATCTCGCCAAACTCCTGCCAGGTAGAGGACTCATCCTGACCAGCAGACAGGATGAAGACCAGCTCAAATGACTTGGCCTTCTCTTCGCCAATATCCTTGCGCCAGGCACCGAGGGCATCATCACGGATTTCGTAGTAGCAGGTTTCTCCAATGGGGCAAGCACCAGCGTTCATTGACTCGCCAATGCCGTACTGATACGACTTCAATGGCATCTTGTACACTCCAAACGTGGTCAAGTCGACACCGAAGCGTCCGTTCGAGTCCTCCATCCAGTATTCATGAAGTGTATGGCCGCGGTTGAGTTTACCCGGCTTGTTAAGGAAATCGCGGTAGAAGGCGGGAACTTGACTTCGAGTTACGTTTGGTGAACCCGGCTGAGGATTCTTGAAAACGTCGGATCCTGGTGCCATTGTGATGGTAAATGGCTTATCAGGATAGTCGACATTTACCAGGGCGATGTTGAAGTTGCGGATCGAGCCCTTTCGAGAAGGGTCGTTCCATTTGGTGCCTGGAGGAGACTTAAAATCGGCCCAGGTCATATTATCAGGATTGACCCAATTTTGGGGATCCAGCACCTCGAAGGGAGCCTTGGGGCCATGATGGGAGCCGCCGCGCGAGGGAAGGCCGTTGGGGGCAGCAAGGGCGGGCTGGATGAGCAATGCGCTGCTCAGAGCAGCAACGGCAGTGCTGGTGAACAACATCCTGATCGATAATGCTATGGACCACACTGCCTGGAACACGGCAACAGGAGGAAGAGGTGGAAAAGAGATTCGACCTGAAAAGGAGGAAAGAAGTGGGAATCATTCCATGCCTTTATACCAACCTGGCTGTCCACCCCGGATCGACCCCGCAAACAAATTGAATCCATCCCCATGCTTCCAGGCTCGTATGTTTCTCCCGCATCCTAGCCATTCCATGCTCTGTTAGCAACGGTTTCCAGGACAGAAACTCGCATCTTGACAGCTAAATTGCCATCTTCAACCCCTGGCGAAATTAGAGGATCGGCGTGACCAGCTACATTAGGCAAGTGCCAAGTCAGCAGCTCACAGGGGTTTTCCAGAATTCTTCTGCGCGGACCAGCAGAGTTTCTTTTCGTCGAGAAGACCATGCTAGTTTCTCTTACTCAAAGCGTTTAACACAGAACAGATGTATATAAGGGTCAAGGGTGCCCTGATAACGCATCGGAAGCTGTGATCCAAACTTCTTGTGATTTTTGAAAGCCCGAGAGTTGGTGCATCTCGCTTCAGAATACTCGAAATTGGGATCTATTAAGCATTCAGCTAAGCTCTTCTCCTCAGTGGAATAACCTACGCTCGTATTTGGGCATCTGCATTGGCCGGCCTCTGCCATCGTTACACGGCTGCAGCAGGTAAAACACAAATATCCCCGTCTCACAAACATCCTTTAGCCGACATCAAGCAAGCTGCTTGTCTCCTTCTCGTGCGATATATGTATGTAAGTATGTTTATGTCTGTCTCGATCTGCTTTTCTTTCAAGGTTGTCGTTGCAAAAACCAAAAACGCCGAACCTGGGGAACGAGGCGCCAAGCCTCGTGTACCTCGGCAAGGACCGGATATTGGATTACCTAATATAAATAACTTTACGGAGTAGCCCAAAGTCTATTATTATGAGGAGTGGATCCATAACTAGTCACGTGACGTAAATAAGATGAATGTCCAAATTGGTTAGTAAGCAGTATAATTTTGATGCACTTCTTCTCCATCCGTCGTTTCACTGTGTACAAGACACCATTTCTGATACTGGGTGTGGCCCTAATATGGCTTTCAGGCTTGAGCTTGACTGCTCCGAACTTGCCAGAGCAAAAGAAAAGGAGGTTAACTTTCTTGAGTCGTCTTTTTTCAGAGGCAACAAGATCCTTCCGAAACCTTCGGAAGTTACAGTTCAATCTCCAAACTTCAACACTCGCCCTCGTCCAGCCCTAGCTAGATTTGAGGCTTTAAATCTCATTGTCAAATTTGGCTCGTCCGTGGCTATAGAAGAAGCTTGTGCCTCCGTATGTTATTGAAAAAGTTTTTCGGAAATGTCCCAGGTCCGGAGATATACGGTTGGAAAGTTCAAGGGAGTTGTGTATCTATTTATATGGAGCTTATAAGGAGAGAAACGTTGCAAGATAAGTGGGACTATCTAACAGACTAGGAGAGGTCATCTATTTGTAGCCACCTGAAAGACATTGCTTCAATGCTTCGGCAGGTTGAACAGGACCCTACAGACTAGTTTATCGGTATATTTAAGCCTTAGAATGCATGCTTGGTTGCGCTATTCTGACACTTTGTAAGGTCTATCACCTGTGGCCCCCTGCGTGACCACGTTTCGCAATCAATGCTGTGGACCGGGTCTTATAAACCAATCAAAGACTTTAATTACTGATTTTCTGCATTGCCTCAACACTGGCTCCCCAAGGAAGCTAAATACAAAGACCCTTATCGAGAATATCCGCCTGATAATGGAATGATTGAAATTACACACGGTGGTTTTCACCTGGGCAACATTATTATCTCCACTGGCACAAGCCCGCGTATACTTGCTATAATTGATTGGGCGCATGCTGGCTGGTATCCTGACTGCTGGGAGTACTGCAAGGCTCTATACACGGCGAACCATAATGATGTCTGGCGCACTGTTTGGATACCAGAATTCCTGGACCAATTAACACCAGAATTTAACGCGTTTGCAGAATATATACTGCAAATAGGAGTGGTGTGACATCCAGGAAACCTTGGTCAGAATTTACATTGCAAGTTCATCAGGCTCCTCGTACCTTCTAGTTCGTTTACTTAGGGAGGTGCTGCATTGGGATGAAGCGTAAGCCATTAGCAGCTGACAGCTTGCTGACAACCAAGCACTGCTACCTATAATAGGCTATGCTCACTTCCGCCTAGGATATCCTAGCACCTCGCTCCCTTACTGTAACAACTTAGATGCTGTCCCTGCTGTGACTCTAACCCCTTCCAAGTGGTTGCAAGCCAATACCATGAGTTGCGGGATCACGCTTGGACTGTACGAGTTGGATGGCCTCCGCATCGAGATACCCAAGATGCACAAGATGACGGGTATATTCCATCGTCCATTCCTGGCACCTTTTATTGGTAGTCTGGACATAAACCTGGTTAGCAAGCCTTGTATTTATACTTTCGGCAAATATCCCGGATTTACCTACGTCATTAACGGGGGCTAGGAAGTTTTGGCTGATTCCTGGCGGGGGAATTTGACTAGCCGCAACCTCCACTGCGCCCTTTGGCACGGAGTCTCTAATTAATGCACCACCTGCGGAATCCTCAATGTACTGAGAATCTAACTGCCCAATATCATATCTAGTATACTGTTGTTGGGTGTCTTTCAGAGAATAGTTTCTTTTGAATTCAAGTTTGTAACCGGCCATGGGTGCGCCGACGACATGAATAAGTGTTCCAACATCCTGGTCAGTAACCGAGGGGATAAAGATTCCAAAATGGGCTCGTTGGTGGGCACTGTTACGAAATGTAACCAAGGATATAGTTCGAGGAGCTATCGAGGATGTGGAGGGTCAACGCATCATTATCAACAGAATGCTTTTTGAGAAAGAGTATGACGCTAAATCGAAGTATCACGGCCAGTTCACAGTCATATAGCAACTTTTATACAATTGAGATGCCTTGAGATGCCTCGTTCACAGCCAAGAAAGTAAGATCCAATAAAATGCATCAGAATAGTTAAGTATTCTTAGGCTTTTATTGGCTGAAAAATGGGGAGAGTTTAAGCTAATAGCCAATCATATAGCGGAGCTTTTGAGTTATTCAAAGTTTGTATTGTAATTGTTTCAATTTGTTTATTTCACTATCACGTGGAAATACGAACCTAATTTCTTGGCGGATATTTGTTTCGTCTCTGGACTTCATCAACGTCAAGCCATGATGAGGATGAACTGATATCCTCGTCAAGACCTTTCCGGGACTGACCTCCGTCAATAGGCTTCGACACACAAGAGCAATGCGTTCTTCAAGCCCAATAGTCATGTGAACTGGATAGATCTGCAAAGGCCCCGTGCGGCCGATGCCAAAGCCCCCCTAGGCCGTAGCAGGTCACTGAGAACGAAATAATCGCCGGTCTAACTGGCTGGGCATCATCTAAACTGGAAGGAGATATTACGGAATATGTATATTCCAGTATAAAATCGAGGAGGCAACTCAGCTGTGCAGAATTTGCCTTGCCAGGCGGGAACACGGAACTGCCCTCTCATACGGAGTACGCAAATGTGTTATCCGCTTAACACGCTCACCTAGCCACATAGCATATAAGGCTAAGGTGCATTCAGACAATTTGGCATCATAAGTATTGTCTAGAGAGCGATAAGTCTAGTGAGCCCGTCAGACACTCCGTTGGGATCAATCCGTCCTGCCGTCCTGCTTCAACCCCATCCTCGTTCAAGTCGGTAGCGGTGTTCGTTTATATGTTTCTATAGCTCCTTGTGGCGCCCCAATACTGCCTGCTTGGCAGATTCACCTGTACGAATCGCCATTGGCCTGGTTGAAAGGATCTTATCAATCTGGTAAAAGATCCAATTTGGTACGAAAGTTGGTCGCTTACTCCGGTTGTCACCTAATAAATCCACTCTCAAAATTGCCTCAGGAACTAGCGTTCGGCTGGTCATCCCAAGCAGTAACTCGGACTCCAGCGATGCCTTACAGGGCAGATTCTCGCCGCCAAAGCGTTATTTTCATGCTTGATTAGCCTGGGGAATTTCACGCTCACATTTCCAGGAGAACGCTTAAAATCGAAAAACAATTAGTTCTAATAATTGCTTGGAATCGCTTGATAGCTAGTTAGCTGCCCAATTAGCCGTTCGGCACTCCGCATACTAATGCAAACTACTCCATCTGTTCGCACCACGTGGGTGCCGACTTCGTCATGACGGCTTAACTCAGGGAAACAAGGAAATTGCGGAACAGCCGTGGTAGCCAGCCATAGGGACAAAGCGCCGTCGAATGAACCAACTGTTTGCCCATAGCAAACACAGACAAGTCCTTCGCCCAAGGTAGTCGTGGGTTAACTAACTAGTGGTTAGGTGATCGTGAGGGTACTTGTAGGTTGTAGCCGAAGTGGGCATATTTGCTGGTACTAAATCGCGATGTGCTAGTTAATAATCTCATACGAATTTTCGCTTAAGGGGCCTGTCAGTGACCTGATCACATTTTTATATATCATTGACCACCGATACTCCCCTGGTCTGCCCCAGCGGTTGTCTTTAGCGGTTCCGCCAGCTTCCGTTGCCCCCGAGGTCCCATGATAAAATCTGTTATTTTTGGCCTGAAGTTAGACATCAAGGTCGTTATTTTGGGTCAAAATGTCTCGGGAGATGGTAAAGAGAGGCACCCGAACTTTGGAGATCACAACATTCTCCGCATGCAATCAGAACTAGCGACGATTACTTTGCCCCTCCTAGGACTGACAGGTGGTTCAACATGATCTCGCAGCAGACGCCGTTTTGAGAAGAGTAGGCGAGAATCTCAGGTAGGAGACAAGGCTGTATGAGAAGAAAGGAAAGACATCCTACGACCAAGTGGACCTCCGGCGCTGAACCTCTATTAAACAACCAGTATCTCGGAGAAGCCTTCGTTTTCCGCAGCCTGTCAATTGAAGCCAAAGCCCAATCTTCCTCTGTTCAGATCCCAACAGTTAACTGCGAAGGGCGAGGAGGAGGAGGGTGGAATATCCCACTCCAACTGAGTCATTTTGATGTTTTTTTTTTCTGGAGTAAATTGGTGCAACCAAGTGCGACCAAAGGGCGGCCCCTGGAACAGACCTCCGCCTTGCTACTAGCTTAAGTTTTCGAAGGCCAGGATGTTAAGCTTTTGCTGCTTCTAGGACCAGGGATTTTATTTAAGTGAGATTCTTTTGTTTTTTTTTTTCCCTTTTTGAAGGGACGGACGCCACAAGTCTGTTTTGTCGTTGAGAAGCTGAGGTTCATCAGGAGAACGGCTGTTAATCGGGTTGTACGAAGTGCGGAGGCCCCCGTACTTCGTACGTACACTCTGCCCCAAGAACACTCACGCCGGGCCTGGTGAGAGAGGAGGCAGAGGGATCACATCGGTTTATGCCAACGGGACACCACTAAGTTATGATGAGCCAGGGGTCGAAGCTATGAATAACAGCCTCTCCCTTGCGTACGTGGGCTTGTTTCCTTCTCTGGGACTAGCTGCGACGGATGACTGGAACATGTGAAGCTAACCAGTCAGAGCCTCCAATTCCGAGCTATCTTTTTCTTTTTTTTGACTTCTGGTGCTGATTACTGAAACTCTGATGCCCCTTCTCCCGTCCAGCGCCAGCGATACTGCAAAAAAGGGTCGAATCGCCGTCGCCTTTCGGCATGGGCGATCGGAGATACAAGCTGTTGGCTCTTCGCTAACTCAAACTCTTCACTGGAGAGGCGAGCTGATCTGATTTTCGGCGTGCAGGATATCCGCTGATTGTTGCATCGCATCCACGTCAGCGCACATAACCAACCCCAACCCGTCGGTGCGTGAGATGACTGTTAAATTAATTATCGGATGCATGGGCTTATCCCGTTAATGAATGATTAACCAGAGTACGGAGTACCAAGTACTAGTACTAGTATGGAGTACTCTGAGAGAAGGCTTCACCTCAGCCCCCATCGACGCGGCTGCTTTGAATAATGCATGCAAAGCCACTCCTGCATCACTGCGAGCAGCCAATGAAGGGGCGGTGCGTGCATCATCCCCATGCAGCCCGATCCAGCCCCCGTTCAAGCTTTTCATCAAGGTTCGACTGACAAGGGCTAAGCTTGACGGCTCATAAGTACCAGGCTCTCACAACGCAAACGCAACGCAACGCAACAGGCAAAAAGCGGTGGTTGTTGGTTCTGCGAAAGCCTAGCCTGATGGTGCCCCTCGACGGCAAAGCTGGCGTGTTTGTCTCCCTCAGATCACGGCGACTCTGGCCAGTTATGATGGACTGATTAGCATGGTGGCATATTGTGGCAGCAGTGCTCTTCGCTCCAGTTCCTCCCACTACTGAAAGAGGTCTCGCGGATTCCCACCAGTGGAAGAGTGGATTATAGCTAAAAAAGAGAGGGAGAGGAAAAAAAAAAAGAAATTTCCGTTCTTAAACCCCGTAACAGGCTCACACTTATTTTCCAGCAGGACGGGCTGTTGCACGAATTTCCCATCGCTCGTTCCCGTCCAATGCAAGTCCACGTCACCCAAGCCTTGATTGCCCTAGCGACAAACAGTTAGTAGGAGAGGCTGTTGCTTATCTCCCCCCGTCTTCCTCGCTCTCGAGATCCAACAGCTGGATGGTTCCATCGACCGTTTCCTCCCCAAGGACGCTTGCCATGGGGAAGCAGGCGAGCTAACGCTATGCAAGCTTAAATAAATCCCCTGCGCCCCCTCGCCACAAGAGCGGCCTTGAGAGTGCTCTTCTTACTATACGGAGCGCGCTCTCCGTTATCGACCTCTCTCTGCGCTCTTTTTTTACACATCGAAATATTCTCTTCTCCTTCCATCGCGGCTACGATCCTTCACAGATTATTGGATTTTATTCACGCTTGATGAAGCCGTTTCTCCTTTCTTTTTGTTATATTATATTGCTCACTTTCGTTCAACTATACTCTATACCGCGAACAGTGCGAATCCGGCGTCATTTGGCATAAAGGGGCTGCCGCTCGTTTGATTATCACGAACCCTTTACTCTTTCTAATCGCTTAGAAAGAAATATGCCGTCTTGCAACCCGTTGTGACCACCAAGATCTGTCACCTCGATGACAAAGATTCGTGCATAAACCTGAACCTCTTATACCATTTCTATTCTCTTTGTCCACTCGCATTTATTCGCTGGTCTGCCGTAGCATTCACCGTTGGCAGTTTCAAGCCTCTGCCGCGGACTCACCAAGGTCAACCAGCGTTAAAAAAAAAAAAGCCGCAAAATGTCTTCACAATCGACCAAAATGGTGCTGCCGGGCTCTTCTCAGCCTGCGCCTGGCTCCCCCGGCTCCTCTATATATTCACCTTCACCAACTCCTTCAACAAATCTCGTTCCGCTTAACAAACTTCCTGTGGACAAGTCGGAACCAGCACAGGAACAGCGTCCTCGCAAGTCAAGAAAGAAACTTATTATTATCATCGTCGGCGCTATGACCGTACTGTTAACGACATTAATAGTGTCTCTTGCCTTGGTATTGCACCACAGAGGCTCAAAAGCGCAGCCTATGAATAATGGCCCTCTCGTCGAGCTTGACTATGCAAAGTACTTGGGTACTCCAGGAGGTTACAATGTCACAAGCTGGCTTGGAATCCGTTACGCCGCACCGCCTGTAGGAGACTTGCGATTTGCCGCTCCTCAAGACCCGAAGAAGGAGGGTGGTATTCAACGCGCGAACTCTGTAAGTCTAGCTTCTTCTGGATGGGAATATGGTTGGATTCATGTGGTGTCAGTGTCGGGGAGTTCCTCGTGGAAAATATACGTCTAATCATCTCCCCGTTTTTGTGTTTTAGCGCGGACCACATTGCATTTCCACCAACAGCAAAAGTGTGACAAGGATATCGGAGGACTGTCTGCGTTTGAATGTTTTTGCACCGTCGAATCCACACCCTAACTCGAAGCTCCCTGTCTTTTTCTTCATCCTGGGAGGCGGATTCAATATCAATAGCGACCCCTTTCTTAACGGGACTGGGCTAGTTGCTGCTTCGGGGCATAACATAATCGTCGTCACTTTCACTTACCGTGTATCCTTGTATGGATTCTTGCCTGGAAAAGAGATAGAGAAGGGTGCGAGTCTAAATAATGGTCTGAAAGATCAAATAAAGGCGCTGAAGTGGGTTAAGAAGTACATCTCAAAGGTAAGCTAGGACCTCATCTCAAGTAAAGTCTCTGGGGAGAGGCCCTTTTAGCTAACAATCTACTAGTTTGGTGGCGACCCTGATCAGGTTGTGATAGGAGGTCATAGTGCTGGTGCGGCTTCTGTTGCACATCTCCTGACTGCCTATGGAGGGCGAAATGACAACCTATTCCACGGAGCCATCGCCGGATCGCCATCATTCGGAACAACTTTGGCCAATAATCAATCCCAATATTTGTATGATACCTTGGTTAAAAGAACGGGATGTGATACTCACCAAGATTCACTGGCCTGTCTTCGAAAGCTCAATGTCAACAAGCTGCAGGAGCACAACTTGGGTGTCCCGTTGCCCGACTCCAGTGGTCCTCCTCTCTTTGCATACAGCCCAGTCATTGATGGTGATTTGATTCAAGACACGTTCTACAACCTCTTCAACCAAGGCAAATTTATCGACGTCCCGACCGTTATGGGAGGCGACTCAAATGAAGGAACGATTTTCGCTCCCCATAACACATCAACTATGGAAGAATCCGACCGTTGGCTCTCGCGACAATTCCCTGCTCTTCAACACCATCATTTCGAGAAGCTTCATGAACTCTACCCAGAACCAGAAGTTCGATATCAAGGAGCCGGCGCGTATTGGACACAGTTAAGTGAGCTCTATGGTGACATGCGCTATACCTGCCCTGCTATGGCGATATGCCGAACGATGAGCAAATCGTTCAAAAGCGACAAGTGGAATTACGAGTATCACGCACAAGATCACCGCTTTACGAAGAATGGCTACGGAGCCACTCATACCGTCGAATTGAACGCCATCTTCGGACCGGCATTCCTTGGTCGAAAAGCAGCGTCATCATACAATAGCCCGGAGAATGGCCCGATAGTCCCTATTGTTCAGGGATATTGGACGAGTTTTATCAGAACATTGGACCCCAACAAGTTCCGGGCAAAAGGCAGCCCTGAATGGAAACCAAGTGTCCAAGACACGGATATCTCGAAGCCATTACATAGGCTCTACTTTGAAACAAATGATACAAAGATGATAGTTGAAGATGAGCACCTGAAAAGGAAATGCGATTATCTGACAAGCATTGGACCGCACCTGATGCAATGAGGATACCATGCAACGCTCTCTCTTTTTTTTGTGTTTCATATCTTTCTTTTCGTTTCTTTTGCTTTTTTTTTTTTTCTTCAAGCGATACCCAGATATGCTTTTGAGTACATAGATGGATGATATATTGCATAGCGTATATAAGGTGTTGGCGTCGATAGACATTGAAGCGCACATGAGTTTACTTCTAATATATTTTTGAGTTCAGTTGCGACTATAGATAATGTAGAGTGTACAAGGTGTTCTAGCTCTATGCACTTATTTCCGTGACTGCTTTCTCGCCTTCTTCTCTTTCTCATATAACTTCGCCTCGCGCCCTTCTTCCCCTTGTATCTCTGCAACAAGGCGGCGATATTTCCTCTCATATTCGGCATCCCTCTCTTTCTTCTCACGCAAGCTCTCGCGAGCAATGAAGTTGGCATCTTTGCGCAATTCGCGCATAGCACCCTTCTTCTCGCGCTTATGTTCTGCCTTGAGCTTGCTGAGCTCTGCACGCTCGCGGTCAGGATCGTAATGTCGGTCAGGGTTGAAGGATTCCTCAAATTTGGGAATGCTGCATTTTATGGCGAGCGGTCGGTGGTTATGAAGTAGTAATGGCCTTCTGTCCTTTTTACGGGAGGCGAGAAGCGCTTTGATTGTCTTGAGGGATCGATGGAGGTGAGTTGATAAAGCAGAAGGGAGAGCAGTTTTGGGGCAGGATTCGATAACATGTTGTAGGACTGAGCTTGCGGGTTCAAAAATCTCAAAAGACGACAGCTTGGAGCCCCATAACTCAGTAGCTTTATCAAGAAGAGTAACCAGCATGTTAAGCAGAGAGAGCTTAAGGTTCTCGGCGTCGCTGCCATTCAGGCCTGTGGAGAAAATGTCCGAAAATTGGAGTTTCCGAAGGTCCTTAGAGGAAACTTTATCCAGTTGTAATCGCAACTGGACTTCAGGGAGTCGGACGGGGAAAAAGCCGGTGTTAGATTTGCTTTCCTTTGGTGCAAGGATGGTTAGGGAGTTGAGGATGAAATTCATGAACTCGGGCATATATCGTTTAGAGTATGTTTGATATTGAAGACAGAGACTGGCAATGTATGCCCCAATCGCGATATCATTCAAGGAATTTACCGGTCCTTGGCCTAGGTAACGGCCCATCGTAAGGATTGAGGGCGTTACAACGGCGTGGAAATGGTCCGAAGTAGGGAAAATCGTTGCAACTCCAGTAAGCAAAACAAGATCACCAGGTAGCAGCCCCAACGGTCTATTTTCCGAGATATCGCGGAGTTGGGCTCTGAATCTTGTTGCAACTTCCTCGGGATAGGTCTTGGCCATGGAATGAACATGTCGTAGCACACTCTCCACGATAGCAAATGATGGCCGCGTAGATTTATTTGCAAGGTATACTGCATGATCAACAAGGATTTTGGAAAAATTTCCAAGTTTTACCTTGTTATCAGGATGAAGACTAGCGTGGTGCAGTGCTCGTATCCTTTGGATAACGACAGGGGTATTTTCGACATCAACTCCCTTCAAGATCTGAATAAACTGATCATGAGATTCGGGGCATGGATAGGTGAATGCTAGCGAAGAGTCGTTCGGTGCCTTGGATGTGGTCCCGCCTAATGCGGATGGTTTGTCTTTAGGAAGTTCTAGATCACCGATGAACTCAGTATCATCGGCATCATCCTCCTCTTCTTCAGACTCGACCTCACTCTCTGTGATAGAGATATCGGCAACAGATTCGTTATCCACAAGGTCGTTGTCAATGATAAAATCATCTTCGTCCTCAACGCCGAACAAGCCATTTGACGTCTCGGGTTGAGCTAGCCCAAATGCTTTGGCGTCGTCTGGCTCGGAGTCATCTTGGGGTTCTTCTTCTTCGACAGCATTTTCGACAGGCTCCTCGTCGCTCTCCTCTTCTCCTCGCATGCGTCGCAACCGTTCGTTCTCCAGCTCTTGCAACCGCTTAGCCTCTTCCTCAATCTTCTCCTCCTCTGTTTTGGTTCGGTCTGAAGGTTTCGAACGCTTATCGAACGCCATTTGCTTTAGCCGCTGATCATACTCGCGATCTGCCACATCCCTATCCTTTCCGCCGAGTAGGGCTGCCCGATCGGGGTTCATCTGGGGAGGTTCTGGGACCTGTGCTGGTGCGGGCTTGGGTTCTGCCGTTTTTGTGCCTCTCATCATCGCGAACACATCCGGCAGGCCTTGATCCAGGATGGCTCGAAGTTCATTGTCATCTTCTTTGGACTTCTGGCGCTCATATTTGTACTGTTTCGATTTCGCAATAATTTCCTTCATGACTTCGTTTTTGCTCTTCTTCCTTTCTGGTTGTTCATCTTCGTCCTCGTCCTCATCAGCCATTCCTTCCATATCATCAACTTCCTCCAGTATGCGTTTTCTCTTTTTTCCCATTTCTGCATCACTCTCTTCCTCTAGGTCGCTAAGATCCTCGTTGAAGTCATCCTTTCCTGCGTCGACGTCAAAAAGAGATTGACCCATGTGGGTGAGTTGCATTTCCTCTTCTTCATCATCTTCAAGGTTAAAGAGTCCCTCCTTTTTAGATCGCTTTTGGCTCTCTCTGGCGTAACGCTCCGCTGCTCTTTGTTCTGGTGTCATAGAAGGGTCATTTTCGCCAAATCTCCGATCGAGGAGGCCACCGACCTTATTTCGGCTTTGAAGTTCCTTAAGAAGTGTTTGTTTTCTCTACAGTGTCTGGCAGTTAGCTTCTGAGGTAGCAAGATGAATATATAAACTAGCTACGAGTAGCTTACCCTTTCTTCTCCCAGCCCTCTTGTCACGCCGGGTCGATGCGCTGAGCCGGTCTCGGGCCTTGCAGTAGTGACCGCAAACTTCGACGGCCGCGCAGGAGCTCTGACTTCGAAAGGATTGAACTGTTCCCGTATCGCTTGAAGAGCAGCATTTCGTTTCACGCGATTTTCGGCCGCGGCGCCAGACTTCGAGTTTTTCTGTCTCTGTTTCTTGGACAGCTGAGGGCCAACAACACCTTTTTCTCGCAAGGACGCCTTTAACTGCTTTAGCTGCGACGGCGCCATGGTCAATTGCCCTCACAGCAACGTCCTTTTCCTAGCGGTCCAAAAAAAAAAAAAAGAAAATGCGGCGTTGATGTGCGTGTTGTAGTTAAAAATCGACGTATAAAAAAAAAGTTGAAGGTTGAAATTTTGATAATCGATAAGCTCCCGCCCTCACCGCCTTTGGGTTCTGCCGCGCTCTTCTTCAAACGTCAAAATCCACGACAAACAACAAAAGTCGCAGCGAGGACGCAGCAGACAGAAGGACGGCGGAGGAGCAAGCCATGGGGCTATCGTCTAGCCTGAAGATGAATATGCAGAAGTGATGGCGTCCACTGGTAACGACCGTATGCTATGGCTTTGTCTAGGTACAGTCCTTCCACCCCCGGTCTCTTGAGCATGATGAAGTTATACTAACTGGTTTCCGCCAGGGGTCACACTCTTCTTCGCTGCGCAACGCATCATCGCAGAGCTTTATCAAGTAAAGGACCTCACTGAAATAAGGAAGATTGAGAAGGAGGATCCAGTTATTGGACAGGCAACGGAAGACGGTATGCCACTCCGATTTTCAATGTAATACTTTCCTTCCCGGAGCTGACTTGTTTCTGCTAGCCTTGAGGTTAGAGACACTCCAGAGGCTCGCAGGAAGCTCTAGCTTTGATCTACGTGCCGCGTGAGTGCCAGGCCCGTCTGAAAAAACTTCCCCTACATATGTCTAATTTGGCTTTCTATCTTTAGAGCACTGAGAATTATATCAGAAAGGTCAACTAAGGGGACGACGAAAGAATTGCTTTTGGACGATCTTGCTGGGGATGACCAGGATCGCAGAGAGAAGGCTCTAAATGCACTGAATTTTCTTGTAACCAGCTCGGCGTGTATGTCATCGCCTTGACTAAGCTTTTTGATCTATGGACTGACGGTTATGACACTGTAGTGGGTCGTTCGAGTGTTTCTATGCGGCTGAAAGATGTAGCCACCTTCAGCGCACTTGTCGATTGCCTGTGCAACTTCCTCCACGAACATACCGAAAAGACTAATGATATACTATCTCCCATCTGCCCTCAGACTCGACCGCCTGGAGAGAACAAGGCCTTGAAAACTCTTAGCGTGATGCTTCCTGGAAATGTTATATATGCACTAGAAGCTGGTGTTGTCAGTCGGTGGCTGACATACTATCCCTTTCCTTGCGTCTTACGTGACAAATCCAAAAAGCGGAGCATTGTATTCATGATGAAAACATGGTGGGCGGACGATCCGGCGATGGGGTCTATAGTAAATACTTTATCCTCGGAACCAGAAGGGCTGAAACACCTGAGAAAGTTTGGATTGATGGGAAGTAGAATGGAAGAGCATACCACAAGCCTATTTGGCGATGAGATTCACGATGATGGAGATGGCCCCCTGATTTACAGGGAGGATCATGAGGCTTATGATACCACAGATTCCGGCTCAGATGCAGATAGTGACGTGTGGATGGTCGACGGTGAAGCGACAGCAGGCATTTCACCCTGGCTTAATAGCCGCCCACAGGAAACCTCCGCTGAAGAGCAAGCACTTCGCAGACGTCGCAGAGAAGCCATGGTTTTTAGTGAAGGTAGCCGGCCGTTGGTTGCAGACAATATATTCCACCCTGTTACGTCTCCCGACTCTGACTTGCCGGAAGAGGACTGGGAGCTGGGAGACGGCGACCCATCGTGGGATACAGAAAATTCCACTGAACCCGATATGCAAGAGCATCCCGAAGTAGAAGCTACTCGGAGTCAGTGGCTTTTATGGCCTTTTTGACATGGGACACCGTGGTTTCTGTTACATGTGGAAATTGCTACATCATGAAGCAGGGCTATTCTATTTATTGCTCTTGAATACAAAACCTACCAATAACTTGCATGATAACTTGTATTCTTATTAGTTGCCACACCCTATATGACATCCAGGTCTCCCAAAGAAAGGAACAATGGGTGTAGTAATAATAATCTGTTAAATTATATCGTACATAGCAATATCTTCTATATTACAGTCCACGCTGGGTAGATGCCCTATTTTATTTCCAGGAAGCCCCAAATAACGTCGTAACACATCCAATGGGCGCCTATAAAGTTACAAGTGAATGGAGAAAGTGAAAGATCATGAATCGTATGAAGGAGGTTCACCAAGGTAAAGGTCACTCACGCCCATATGCCGCGCTGCTGCTTGTATTCTCTCTTCAATTTCGGCGGAGTCTCTCGGCATACTTCGTAAAACCAGTCTTAACAGATCACACATCAGGTCTACCTCGAACTCCATGTGGAACTCTTGATCCATATCATCTAGGTATATTCCCTCTTTAGCGGCTTGCACTGTCTTCTGCTCCCGCAACTTGTTAAGAAGACTGCCGACATATTGAAGGTTTTCCTTCGCACGGGGGGTGGAAGAAATACGTCTGTGTCGTCGTTTCGGTAAAGTTGCTTCATCGCCAGTAGGAATCAACCTAACGACAAGGAATACTAAGATTCTGGCGGTATCGGCATCAGGGAAGAATCCAAATGTTTGTTTCATGGCACGGAGAGCAACGATTGTTCCTTCGGGGTCAAGAGAAAGACAGAAGCATCGAATAATATGATCATAGAGGTCCTTCGAGAATGCATCTTGGGTATTTTTCTGGAGTTGCGGTGGTAAGTTTGAATACCACTGATTCATTTCAGAGTATAAAGCGCGGGCATTGGGGAATTGTGCATTGAAACAAGAGCGTGTCCTGTCATACTGAATTTTCCCACAATCCCAGAGGCAAGCAAACGTTTCAAGATCAGGCCTGATGTTTGCCATGGTGCTCTTATATCCAGACCAAACGCCCAATATATTCTGCTTCCTTAACTCCCTATATAGAAGATGGTTGGCGAAGAACGTGTTTGGTCGAATTTGGGCTTTATCAAGGCACTCCACTAGATGATTTATCAGCGCATCCTTATCTCTCCGTGTATAATGCAACAAGAGAATGGAAAACGTCTCGATAGTAGCGTCAGGAAGAGTCCGTTGTTCATACTCCGGTGTAGCTCCCTCTGGTAAATAGCCGTTGACAGATGATTTCTCTGGCTGATTACCACAAATACGATCGACTCGTTTTCTGACCATAGCCCATCCAAGTTCCTCCGCTTTTTGTCTACTAGAGCCGCTTCCTTCACGAAGCCATGCTCCGATCAGGCCGTTGAGATGTTTAGCATCAGGTTTCACCCCTCGCTCATACATAAGCTCAACAACTTTAGCCGCTGCATCAAGCTCTTTCATTCCAATGAGCTTTTTGATCCAGCTGGCGTAGAAGAACTTGTTTTGAAATTTCCGGGGAAGAATTGTTAAAGATGCAAGCGATATCTTATTGACATCCGACTCGTTGATACTGTCGGATTGGAGCTTTCCAACAAGCCCTAATGATGCCTTGTAAAGAGCATCCGACTCAGTGGACGAGTTCTGGTCTGTAAGCATCATATCTTTAAAGACAGCCAAGGCCATATTGACTTTGCCAGAATTGAGGAATCCAACGCTTATTGCATCGTAGTCGGACATTGTAATTCCTGTTCCCAGGCTTGTCTTGAAGTGTAGGTATAATGTCCAGGCACGGACATCACTTTCAGGATCGCCACTCTGAGCCCAGCAATTTATAACTGGAATAAGAATCCGGGGGCTGTGGGACGGGTCCAGGGATATGCATAATAATGCAGCATCTTGAGCGCTTTTGGGGTTCATATTGGCCACAAACAAGCGAACTCCCATATTCCAATACTCCTTTTTCTCATAGGGCGTGTATTCGTTCAAGTCTGGTTCCCTTTCTCTCCAGAGCGCGAGGGCCTTTTCCTGCTGCCCGTCCATGAGAAGAGCATCCATATAATCAGCCCATTGCTCCGCCTCGAGAATTCGCCCACTGCTAAGTAAATCCTCGGCGAGAGTAATAAGGTGACTAAGAGGTATCTTTTCGGTTGTATTTGAGCTTGAACGCTGTGATTTCCAGAGCATGGATATCGACTCTTCTGGGGCGATATCAAGGAAGAATGGAAGAGCTTCTTTACACCGGCGATACGATTTCCAGGCGAATTGTTTCTCTGCAAGACTCGGAGTGCCTTTTAATGACTTCAAAGCCTTATTGAACCTTGTGACATAGACATGATGACTCTCTGGAACTTTCAATTCAACCTCATAGGATTCCCTTTGCTGCTCGACGGGCTCCGTGGTTTTGGTCGAGCCAGACAGTTCCTTGGTAGGATCCCATAACTCTTCCTCCTCCGCCTCTAGCCTCTCCAATTCTTTATTTATCGCTTGATCAAACTCTGCCGTCATGCGATTCTTGAGCAGTTCGTCCCTCCGATCTTCCTCTTCCCAATTGTGTTCGGCGGCATATTTTGTGATAGCTCCCAGTGCCCTTTTTCTATCCTCCTCAGACAAGCTCCTCATAAACTCGCCATCTAGAGCGAAAGGTCCCTCCTTAAGGGCATCTAATTCAGTTTCCAGCTTCTTTAGTTTCTCTCTCGCTTTGCGATGTTCTACTACATCCGGTGTATCTGGATCGACCTCAAAATATTCCTTGCTGTTGGTAATCGACTTTTCAAAGTTACGGACGGACACTTTTGGCTTTCCATCGCGCAAGTAGGATATTTGTGTACCGGAAAAGGGTCGAGGGAGGGTGAGAGACGACGGAGCGCGACGGGGGAGGCATGTTGTGAGCGCATGCGGATGCCACCGAGTTCCCTGGAGTGTCAGCCGGCGCATGAATGCAGCAGAAGGTATTCAGCTCATTGAGATTCTAGAGATGAAAGCGAATAGTGTAGGCTATTCAAATCTTGAGTCGAAGCTTGAGAGTCGAATTTTGAATGAATGAATGTGAAAGCTCAAGATCTTCAATTTGAAAATAGATCGAGCCTGTCCTGCCAATTGAGTCTTGGCACATGACCTGTTTATTTTCTGTTCTTGAGACGCGACAAAAGGCATGCAAGAGGAATAGATTCATCAACATCGGACATATTTAATGAAAAGACAGCTAGAGGCTGATATCGGCCGTCTTTAAATGGCTTGGATTTGATATTTCAACCATGCAACCCGGTGGCCATGAAGCTGCAGGTGGCCTTGCGGGCTTCGAGTACCAGGTTTGTCCTCTTTACATCAATTCAGATCTCATCTATCTGACCGTTGAATAGGGATCATATATTTATAAGCCAGCGAAGAAAAACAATGATACCAATGGGACCTCAAATAAAAGACGAAAGGTCAATTATGCCTCGAGCAGCCAAAGCTCAGGGAGCCGTATATCCCCGTTTGTGCCGCTCCTGAATGGATATGAAACCAAGGAGTCCGTCAAGTTACGATATGATCTTTTCCGGGACCTTTGGGCTCATAGAGAGCACACAATTCAGGTTTGTCCAGCGGGTAGTGATGGTTCATTGCAATTCTAACATGTTCATATAGTCGATCCTCCGCGAAGTGGATTCAGAAGTGCTAAAGAATATAGCAGCTTTCATCGAGGAGTCTTCGACAGTAATGTATGAATCACATTGATGCAAACAGTCTGCATTTTATAGTAGTGCTAACTATGCAGCAGCTACAATGGACGTATTCCCACCGGAATCATATCAGTGGGATCAAACATATCATCTACGGGTGGGCTTTTAGAACGGCTACGAAAGGAGCTACGGAGTTCAGGCAATGCATGTTTAGTCACTCTTGACTCCGGGGACACATCAAACATCAAGAATGCCTTGAAAACGATCATCAAACTTGCCATCACAAGTATGGAGAATATCGATAGCTACCGCGACTATTTAACGTCGAAAACGGTAATATCTTCTCTATCTCTACCCAATGATATCATTGACTAAACTATATATAGGGATTGAAACTATTACCATGTGATCTGGACTTGATGCTGGCCTGTGTCAGGAGAAATGGCGTGAAGAAGGTTGTCATTGCTTTTAAGGACAGTGAAGCGTTTGATAGTAGCGTCCTGTCTGACTTGATCACGCTATTATCGTAAGGTACCCTGACTGTCCATCTATGAACATAATTCTGACCGACTAAAGATCATGGTTGGACCGTATACCCTTTGTTTTCCTCTTTGGAATAGCGACATCAGTCACATACCTCGAGTCTAGACTGCCACGTTCCACAGTAAAACTGCTAGAAGGTCGCCTTTTTGATTTTCAAGATTTCGGGGATTCAGTGGATCGTATCTTCACGGCCCTGTTTGCCCACAATAACGAAGGCCCATGGATCGGACACAGTGTGAGCCATACTTTGATGGACAAGTCGGGAGATTGCTTTCAAAGCCCCGAAAGATTTGGTAACATTATTAAGGTACGTGCGTGTAGCATCACATAAAAACTTTTTACAACTTGCTAATATGAATGAAAGTACGCCCATATGGCCCATTTTTTCGCAAATCCACTTTCAGTGCTACTCGCAGGTGAAATACAGGGGGGAAAGCTCCAGCCTGAACTATGTGAAGCAATTCGGAATACGCCTTCGTTTCGGAAGTAAGAAAGCCCTCGAAGTTAGTTTTAATTTGAGAATACTTACTCCTTTCTTAGGCATGTGCAACATCTTTTAGATATCAAGGACAGTGAATCTGCGAAAGAGATGATGAAAGACGACACTATCCTTGCCAAGCAAGCCTACCTAGGCATTTCTGTTTCCCGGCAAAAAATGAGAGATATCTTTACCTGCGTAGAATGGCTGGTAGCGTTCATTCGCAACATGAAGTCTCAAAAATCAGCGAACCATTCTGAGTGCGTCATTCTTGCACTTGGCGGAGAGCTGCTTGAATCCAAAATTTTGGTTGAGACGCTTGAAGCTGCTAGGAAATTAAACTCAGAGGAGCTTGACACTGCATTTGGGCTAATATCGAACCTGTCAACTGAATCTGCCGCCATACTTGACGAAATCCGAGAATTGATACGCACAAAGAAATCTAAAGGCGTACTACGTTCTCAACATGACGCACAGCTAACGAGGCATAATACTACTATTGTCGGCCAAAGAGTGAAGCTGACGAAAGGGAAAGCGAAGCTTTCAAATGAGGAATTGAAATACAGTGAATTGGTGGACCGACTGTGTGACTCTATACAGAATTACCTTGCCGAGAAACTGATCAATCCCAAGGATCTTTTCCTGCATGAGTGCTTGATATTCGATTTTAAGTCTCCCGTTCGAAATACATTTACTCCTAAGTGTCGGCACACAGTTGAACGAGCACTGTCTCACCCGTTTGACTATCTGGACTCGAAGGAAGGTGGGGAGATAGAAACCCTGTCGGCAGGCCAGCCACCAATATCTATTCTCTATCAGCTCTACCTTGAATCCGGCGCTGTGGTCAACGTTTATGACTTATGGAGAGCATTCTATGCAATTCTTGGCGGAGAGGACGCGGATAGGTGTGACGAGCGCGTGGCATTCTCAATATTTTACCAGTCCCTGGCAGAACTGAAGATGATGGGAATGGCAAGAATAAGCAGGAAGAAGACGGACCATCTGGCAAAGTCTGCTTGGACAGGCTTGTAATATCAGTTGAGGCGATGATATCCTTGGAGCTAACCTTCTCGCCAGCAGGCAACTGACATGTGTATTAATCGATCTTTTTTTTTTTTTTTTCTTTTGCTAATAAAATATATAAACCTTAAAGGGTTTTCATAGTGTTTATTGTTCGTTCGAGAATAGTTATAATTCGTAATGATGTACAGGAGTTAACTTTCAGAGATCTTTTCTACCAGAATTAACAAAGGCATAAGGGTAGTTAAATACGAAGACATAGGGGGAATATAGTCTAAAGAAACGGGAGAAGAACGAAAGACACAAAACGCTTATTTCTTTCCCTTCTTTTTTTTCTTCCCCCCTCCGCTCACAGAGCCAGCTGCGGAGCCGGTAGAGCTAGCCACATCCACAAGGACGGTATCCTCGTCACTACCAGGCTGTGTATTATCACCCGTAGATCCACCCTTGGTTTTGGAGCTTTCTGTTGTGCCACTCTTCTCTTGTTCGAGTTCTTTCATGAACCCTTCTTGTATGCTGGCCCGTTTGCGATCCCACCATTCCTTTTCTTCTGTGACGGTGGCTTGGAGAGCCTTGATATCGGTTCGTGCCATATTATTCAAGAACATCTCATTTGCAGACTGGAAAATAACTTGGCCCCATCCGGGGGTGTAGGCGTTGGCCTAATCGTTGAAATGTGTTAGCATTTGCTAGGTTCGTTTAAGAGAATAAACATATTCAATACATACCTCTGATGCCACGTCTCTGAATTCCTCCTCCATTTCTTTCTCTGCTCTTGTAAATTGTTGCCACAGGTCATCACCCACGTTACCCTTCTGTAGCAAAGATCCCAATGCGGCTTTCTTGGTTCTAAGCTCAAGAAGCCGCTTGATGTCTTCTGCTGCCCTGTGTAGCAGTGCAGCCTTCAATATGGTCTCGGGTGCCTTCTTCTCCATGTGGAGAATTGAGAAGTATATATCACGCTGGAGGTGTGCTGGAAACCATGGCTTTAGGGAACTAGCTTTTTCTGCAAGCAATCGGGTCAACTATTAGTATATCTTTCGCAAGGAAGGTGGAAAACTGCAGGCAGGTTCTGGGGGTTCAACGTACGAGACTTGCGTTTGCGATAGAGGGAGGAAAATGTCGCTAGGGAGCCGACCAGGACGGCGAGATAGGCCAAGGGAATCGTTAGACTGAGCCAGTCTATCTTAAGGAAGTCCAACATCTTGAATTATGTTATATATGGAGTAGATATCGACAGAGTAGACGGTCTTCTTTTTCAGGTCGTGTGTCCTCACGGCGCAAAGCTCGCTGCCCGATGAAGCTGTGAAGGGGGAGTGATCACACCGCCGCGGCGGTCAAATCAGCGTGTAGAGCAAAACGCAGTCCAAGTATCTCCTGGTAAGCAAATGATCGACCTCGAATGCCGGTGTGTGGTGGTGTTTTGTTCTTCTCCAAGCTGCGATGGTCGTGGATGGGTTTTTGCTGCGGGAAAGCTGGAGATGCCACCTAGACCAAAGAAGGCCGCTGCGGCGTCACATGTTTCGATTACTCAACCTCCACACCAAAGTCAGTTAACTATACAAAGCCTCAACAGCTAACGGTGAAAGTTTGGTAGAGGCGAAATACTGGACTAGAGGTACAATAAAAGAGTTTTGGATTGTGTACATGCTTTCTGTGCCCAACGGGGTTTTCTATTATTCCATCCTCGAGGAACATACCACCACGATAGCAAATCAGATTCCCTCCCCCAAGAATGATTGAAAATGTCAAAGACACAAGTAGAATAACGTATATGACACATTAAACAGAAGAAATGGGAAGGGTGAGAAAGATGGGAGTTGAGGGTAGACTCCAACACCAACAAACTCGCTGTACAGTGGAAAAACGAAGATAATCCCATGAACAAGAAACATTTGCATAGCAAGGTGAGAGACGAAGCAGGAGCAGAATAGGAAGTAATACAGGAGAAGAATCAGGGGTTAGGTCTTGTAAATATTTCTGCAGTTACAGCCACACGTGGGTTACATGGCTCTAAAGAAAAAAGGAATCAATATACAAAGAGGGATGCATCATGGCCTGGACTATCCCCTTCGTTGGAGTATATATCGTTATCATGTTCATTGGCGGCCCAGTTTCTGAGTTGTGTCGACGTAGTTCTGGCTTGATTTTATATCATCAAGTGTTTCGAGAAAGGTTGACCTCAAGATCATGGCAACTTCTTGCCTATTCCACTCGTTGCGGTTGACCCATAGGCAGTCCATAAGCTCAGTGTTGATCTGTTCCAGTTGCTCAACTGAGAATCCTCCGGTCTTAGTACTAAGTTCATCATGAAGCTCTCTATTGAGGTCTTCATCCACAATTAAGTTTGGCAGCGGTGGCTCAGGTTGCTTTGGCTCACTGTTGATGAGGTTCGAGATACGGGTGGTTTCACCATTGCGCGAAGGAGGGGTGACAGGATTTCCATGTGTGTTTCCCCCTGAAGAACGGCTAGATGCGGCGTCAAAGAGAGGTGGAGGGCCAACAGGATGTGGTTGAGATGCCTGGGAATGGCGAGGTTGTGACTGGCTACCATTTGCGTTGCTTGTGGACTGTGAATGAATGAATTCGGCTACACCACGGAGAGGCGTCATTTGAGAGGAAATCCAGGAGCTATCCCCTTGCTGAGTCTCAGGGAGGTGCTCATCACCTGAAGCACGATCGGGATATAGCGTGAGGTCTGGCGCATCATGCATGGCCGACCCAATCAAGGAAGCATGGGGATTGGTATGCATGATATCAGTGGGACCAGAATTCTTTTTGTCAGAGGTTGTTTGGGTTGTCGAGGCATCGTTAACATAGTCACCGGGTTGTGATCCAGGGGCCATCGGTGTGATATTGCCCTTTTGTGACAACGTAGACAGACCGGACTGGTGCCTCATAAACTGCGAAGGCGCAGTATATGAGTGTAGTGGTCTCGGCTGTGCAGATGGACCAAAAGAGCTGTTCTGAGTGTTGTTCTGGTGTGCGCCGGAGGTGTGATCCGAATTAGACATCTCAACATCACCATCACCTTCTGGCTTATGCAGAGGACCGTTGCTGGTTGGAGGTCGGACGCCGTCAACACCACCATGAAGATGGAAACCTGGAGTATGCCCATTTGTCAAGGATGGATGTCCAGGGCCAGATTTGCTACCAGGTGCCGGGCATGGACTGTTGAATAACTCGCCTAGTACCACGGGGCCGGCCGATGATACATTGGACAGTTCAATGCTTCCATGCGCTATGTTCATCTGTGGTGGTGGGCCAGCTGGAGGCTTCATTGTGCCATCGGCATCGGCTACTGGCTGCTTTATCTTCTCCAGCGCAGCTTTTTCACGTTCTAGCTCTCGCGTGTATACCACCTCACACTCGGCCACCAGGGCTGGATCAGTATTGTCAATTGCGCCGATGTCAACTTCAACATTTGCCAACAGTTCATTCGCTTTCAACTGTCTATCGGGGTCGCCAAGCTGTTTTGCATCCTTAGCCAATCGTTTGATGTCAGCTAAAAAGTCCTTTGGACGCTTGTAATATCCGTTGGATAATCGCTTCTCGATGGTGACGATATCCAAGTTGTAGTAGAATTTGCCTGATGCAACTTCCCGCAGACCAGGGACGCCAGCTTTGTCTGTGTCCTTCTCGTAAGGCCTAAACGTGCTCCGTTGCTGTGGAGGTAGGTCGGACGTGACAACATTCGGATCATCGTCATCATAAAGATATCGTATTTGGGACTCATCGACAACACCCGTTCTGAATCGCTTATATTTCCGGATCTGGTCCATAATAGGCTGTATCCGAATCTTCATGAGATTAAGTGTCTGTCGGTCTTTTCGTTTTTGTGCCTTAAGTTCCTCTTTTGTAGGAGCTGGTGGTGGCTTCGGAGGAGCTGGAGGAGCAAGCTCAAGCTGCTCAATCACTCGCTTTTTCCGGTTATCTGGTTCAGGAAAATCGGCTGGAGGTGTGCGTATGAAGTCTATAATGGGCTGGAAGAATTCCCGGCGTTGAGACAGCTCTGGATAACTAAGGAAATATTGGTTTTTCTTAGAGAACCCAAATAAGTTGCGTACGATATCGGAGTTTGCCTCATAATCAGCTTCCCCTTCCAGGATACCCAGTAATAACACAGGGTCTGTCGGGGGAATTGAACGCAGCAAGCCCATGAAGGTTGATATCACAGCGTTTCCAAGTGTCTCATACCATGACCGGATGCTTGGAATGCAAATAACACTGGGTTTGTTACGCTTGACTTCGGCGAAGAGTTGTACCACAACAGCCTCGGGCGACCTGGTCGAATCACTCAATAGAGTCGGAAGGTCAAAGGACTGCACATGTATGCCCTCGAAGTGGTTCAGTAGCGCAGATGTAATGTACTGTTGTCCCATTCCGTACTCTCCCCGGATAAGCAGTCTGGGTCTGAAAACCCGCGATCGATCGAACTCTTCTTGTAACTTCTCGCGTTTGAATCCAACGTCGTCATTAGGTTGTTCAAACTGTGCTTCTTCCAGGGCAGTAAGTGCTTTCCTCCTGGGGACAAGCTTGGCGATGCGTTCTTGGATTTCACGCAGGGGTTCTCGTAGCAGTGGCTCAATCGTACTGTGAAGAGGAGATGCGCCAGAGGACGCAGATCTCTCGGAAGATGGGACGATCTTGTTGAGTGAGATCATGAAATCCTTGAAAGACACTTTGATCTTTTTAGGATCAATCAATAATTTGTCCTTTGATTGGTATATCTGAGGATAAACTCGTTGTACGGCATTCAGAGCAGCCTCTGTGCACAATGCTCGTAAATCGGCACCACCATATCCCTTGGTTGAAGCAGCTAACTTGTCTTTGAATTCGTCTGAAAGCGCAGGCTCCCAGCCTCTGGTGTTGATATCAATAATAGCTCGACGGGCTTCAACATTAGGAAGCGGGAAGTAGAATTCTCTGTCAAATCTGCCTGGACGGCGGAGAGCAGGATCGACAGAGTCGGGTCGATTAGTGGCGCCAATAACAATAACCTGACCTCGACCATCCATGCCATCCATCAAAGCAAGGAGGGTAGACACAATAGAAGAATGGATTTGTTCTTGCTTGCTGGATCGGACAGGAGCGAGACCTGAGTAATATATAATGTTAGCACAGATGCACTTAGTAGTCGTTATGGATGGAGTATACTAGCTTACCATCAATTTCATCAAAAAAGATGATACTCGGCTGTGTTCTTCTGGCCTCTTCGAACAGCAATCTGAGCTGCTTCTCCGCTTCACCAACCCATTTGCTCAGGGCGTCCGCTCCTTTTCTCATGTAGAATGTCACCTTTCGCCCGTCAGTGCTGACACTAGTAGCCAATGCACGCGCTAGAAGCGTTTTACCGGTTCCTGGGGGTCCATGGAACAAAACTCCTCGAGGTGGAATGATGTTTAGACTCTGGAAGACTTCTGGATAAAGTAAGGGTAGAGACACCATCTCCTTCAGCTGATCAATATGACCCTGTAAACCACCCACGCTGTCAAAATTGACATTCGGGTTGACTCCTAGAGGGTCTGCATCGGCCAGGGCTTGCTTGTCTTTGATTTTTCCATAGTTAGCAGGCACTCCGGGGGCGCCTTGGGCTGGGTCAGGGTGCAGCTGGCCTGCCATGCCTAGGCCGAGACTGGGAGCAAGGGAGGCCGCGGTCATTCCGCCAGGAGCGCCACCGGGGCCCTTGGAACGAGCAGCAAGTTCGTCATCTGAGCTATCACTGTCTACACCTCCATTGGCGCCCATGCCTGCAGGCCCCCCAAGTAGAGGTGTTGGCCCAGCGCCGCCGAATGGTCCATAAGTAGAGAAAAGGGTTCGTTGCCATGTGCTTCCACCAGCACGTCCACCACGGCGTGATGGAGATCCAGCTGGTTCGACTTCACTTTCTTCCAAGGGGAGAAGAAGCTCTGGACGGATGAGCCGGTAGTCGACAGACTTTCTAGTTCGTCGTGGTTTGTCCTCGTACACAATATCGGGTTTCTTCCGCCGAGGCCGTGTTGATTTCAACTCTGCCAGTTCCTCTTCGATTTCACGGGCTTCAGACTCGGCACGGGAATGAGAATAGCGCTGCCGGTTACTACGGCGGGTACGAGGCTCGTTGCCGCTGTCATCATTTTGCGGAGAAGCCAAGGACGCAGCTGAGTCGGAAAGTTCCTCTTCTTCATGACTTTCTTCGTTTGGCTCAAAGTCGCTGCCATCATCTCCTGGTGGCTGGGATCTCTTTCCAGCGGTTCGTCTAGTGGATCGGCGAACTGGCTGGCTTCCCTCCTTTTCAGCTTGTGCCTCTTCCTCCGCTGCTGGCTCCTGTTGTATTCTGTTTCGTCGAGATCTCGTTCGTGATACCGGTCCTTCATCGTCCTCGTCGTCTTCCTCGTCCTGCTCGACGCGATCATGTTGAGACTCAGGAACAATCCCGTCCTCGCCCATTTCAACGTCTGCCTCACCTCCGTCTGCATCTTCGTCTGCATCTTCGTCCGCAGGCGGGTGGGCGCTGTCAGAAGCTGCAACAGCCGGTGCATCCTCATCGAAACCTCCTTGAGGATCACTTTCCATTATCTCGACCTGAGATGCACCAGCGCGATCCAGGTGGGAATTGTCCTCCTCATCCTTGGGTATTTTTGATTCATCGTCTTCTTCCTCAACGTGAGATAGCTGTTGTCCCTGACGTGTGGGAAGAGATTTAACAGGCTCTGGGCTGCGGGTGCCCTGGCGGATGGTTTCGACATGGCGACCTGAGCCAGAGAGAGCCACGATATCTTCCCTGTCGTCGTGTGCAAGGCGACTGCTTCGCCGAGTAGACTGTCGAGTGCCTACGCTTATTGGATCTTGACGTTGGACACTCGCACTACGACCGCGGGAGCGTGTTGCGCGGCCAGAGGGAGCGGGTTCTGCAGCAGTGGACTGTGTTGGTAATGGGAACTTGACAATTAACTTGCGCTTCTTCCCCTTCTTCGCCTGCAGATCCTCCTCTGCGTCTTTCTCCTCTTCCTTGTCCTCCAGGAGCTCATCAATTTCATCTTCATCAGGAGATGACTCTGCGTAGGATACTTTCTTCGTAGCGACCCGTCTTCTCACGGAGCCACGCGCATTTCTCTCTGCGTTTGGGTCTTCGATCTCATCCTCAAAGTCATCTGACAGGTCGTCCTCTTCCTCCGAAATCTCTGTATCCTCATCTATATCGTCATCCGAATCTCGCTTGCGCTTTCTAGACGCTTGCTTCTTTGACTTGCTCTTCGATTTTTTGGTTGGCCTGCGCGATCGCTGTTCCCTGTCGTCGTAGTCATCGTCTTCTGGGTCAGATCGGTTGACGAGCTCCTCCAGGGTAGGTTCGTATTTTCGAGGCATCTTGTGGCAGGACAGAGCTCTCGGTAGCTTTTGCAGGAGGTAACTGGAGTAGTATTCTTTGATTTGACTCGAGGGCAGTGTGAATCAAAACCGGGGACCCAGTCACCACGGCGGTTTTCGGTGGATACAAGGGGCAAGAGAGGGCAAAATTCTCGGATGAATGACTTGCGTTTCCGGTATTACCAGCGCCAGCGGGCCTTTAATCTGGTGTCTGAGTGTGAATCGCTCTCGCGCAGAGGATGGAGACGAGGAAGGGCCAGCAGTAGGCTGAAACTGGGCGCAAGGGGGAACGGCCACCCAGCGAAGGACCTCAGCCGGCTCCCAGTCAGCAACAAATACCGGCCAGCAGCAGCCCGTAGAACCTGTGCTCAGTCTCTCTGGCGTCCGCTGTCTGTCTTGCTGTCCGTGTCTCTGAGCGTGAGGGAGCGAGCGAGCTGCTTGTGTTGGCTGTTCGTTCTGCTTGTTTCTGCTGGAAATCGCGCGCAAGGGAGAAAACAAACTTCGATGCCACGCTAAGCCCAAAGCGGCCTAGTGCGCGCTGTCGCTCGCCCTGCTGCCTACTCTGCCCACCGCCTTTGCCCAAAGAGGACCAGGGATTCTGCCAGCCCCCCAGAAGCTTTTGCGCATCACCAAAAACTAATATCACAGCAACACAACATCAAAAATGAGTTTGTTCGCCCTCGACTCGGCCGCCATGGACCACTTCCGGCAACCCTGGATGGCCCCAGAACAATCCTCAGGCTCGTCTGCCTCCTTAGCCACATAAACATAATCAAAACAAACGCTGTCCGGGCCCCCAGGCGCCCACTCTGCGTCTCCCCTGAACCTCGTCGTGCTCGCCCGGGTCTCCCCTCTGCCCTGGATCGTCATGAGGCTCAAGTAAAGCAAAAGAAGCTTATCGCCCTTAGGCTTTTGCGGGAACGTGCGACCTCCCCGCCCGTTTTTCCGCTTTGGGCTATCTTACATAGAAAGTCACGTGAGTTTGCTTAGTCATTTTGACCTCTGCCCTTTCGAGAAATTTTGACGGCGAGAAAAGGGAGCAGCAAGTTGACCAAACATATATATAAATATATATATATAAACATAAACACTGGACGGCAAGACGACCTCAAATATGAGCCCGCTATATCTGCTGAGAAGCTCGAGGCAGAGTATCTCGAGGATATGTTCTCGTCTTAATCAAAGAAATGTCCTTGACCACCGTCGCCTCTTTTCAATATCTCCATCCCATTCATCAAGCGCGTCGCAGGTATGAAGAGCAGCTATCCACCTAATATATTGTATGGATCAGCTTGTTAATTTCCTCGGCAGTCTCCTCCCTTATCGCTGTCGTCATTCAAAAAACCATTCTTCAAAGTCTTTCTTGGCGCAGTTCTCACCTATCAGATCCTTTATTATGGCTGGCTAAGACTCGAGGTGGAAGAGACCCAGGCAGAGAAACTAAGTATTACATCACATATTTTAGTCCTACCAAAATAAAGAAATGGAAGTGCTGACAGCTATGCAGAAATATTGTCTGATTTACAAAAAAAGGTCAAAGAGTTGACGCCCAATGAATCGTGATGCGATGCAACTTTTTACTTATTATTTGCATGTTCTGTACTTTTATACCCTCTTCATGCACAGTCCACTGCTTTTCCCCATTGTTTTTCTCCTATAGATATTGGATTTCTGAACTTTTGGCTACGATGAAGCCATTGCCCCATAAGATGTATAACAGTCGCACTTCTGCGGTATTTGATAACTAGACTTTCATTCCCGACGAATCAAAAACAACAAATGGAAAACATTAGTTATATAATTCAGTTAGAGTACACCGCTCTAACGACTATAGATACGCTAGGCCACCATGGAGTTTCTCAAGGTCTATCCGAATCGCACCGACATCTGCACCAACGCGTCCTGCAATCTCTGCTTTCCTCTGGGCTCCCATATCAAGCCATCTAAGCAACAGATTTCCGTCAATCATGCCACGCTGTCCACCCATACCATCACTCTCAACAGCCCGGTAACCACGTGGATTCAAACTACAAGGGTGTTCCAGCGCGTTAACTAGCTGCGACTGCAGGGCTAGCAGACGACGGTAAGAGTCTTCACTGAGAGGAGTGATTACTGCAATCGACCCTGTTTGGAAGGTCATGAGTATTTGGTATTTTGATGGCGGCGGTGAATCTGTGTCCATGGCATCCTCATCGACAGGCGAAGAGGTTGTGTGGGCCCCATGTGGTAACAGAGTCACGGTTGATGCAAAATGGCCTGTGTGGAATACGCTTCGACGTAGCAGGCGGTCACCCTTCGAAGAGCTTGGGTCTACAGAACAACGGTATTAGTTTCAGATAGTCTCTTTGCAAAATGCTTAGGATTCACTAGGAGATTCCTACCTTCAGGGTCGTACTGCAGAACATGGAGATTGCAGTCATCGTCTGCAACTAAGATGTATAATTTATTCCCGTCTGGAAGGAAGTCTGCATCCACGACAGCCAAATTTTCATTCTCTTTGCCGAAAAGATCCAGTTTATACGGCTCCTCCTGTTGGTGCGGCACACGTTAGTAAATAATGAAGTGCATTTCATGATATATCATGGAAGAATATGCTTACCGAGTACCCAGTAAACCACAGTCCCTTGAATGCGTCACCGATAATACACATTCCTGTTCCTTTAAGCTCTTTGAGAACGTTGACATAGCATTGGGTATCCTTAAAGGCTACGGGCAAAAGGCTTCCATCCTCCTTGAGTCCGCGCACCATGCACTTTTGGCCCTGTGCAACTATCAAAAATCCCTGTCCGCCTATGCCTGACAAGGCCGTGACAGCACCCTTCACTTCTTCTTTGGCAAATAGTTTCAACTTCTTGCTCTTTTCGGGTTGATCAGGTTCTGGAACAACATCAATGACCTCGAAGACACGGATGAATCCTTTGGGGACAATGTCTTCTCCCTTGACAATGGACGAGCCTACTACAACCATGTCTTTCCTCTCATGAGTTAATTCCGAAATCTCAAGGCGAATTACTTCGATACACATAATGCGCTCTGCGGGTTCGAGTTCATGGCTATTCAGGGAGCAGGTGAGTATGGAAGAAGATGCATACGGGTAAGTTTGCGGTTGAGCAACTTACCTATCAATGGTAGACCAGTTTCTGGGTTCCAGAAGCTTAACAGTCCCTCTCTCCAGCTGCGGAAGGAATGTAATAACTATAACGAATCGTCAGTAGCCGCGATCGGCAACAAAGTAAACGGAGTTCCATACACTCGTTTCTCCATTCAGTATGCGACTCGTCGTCTTCGGGAAGTTTGAAGTCCTCCTTTGCGCTGGTGCCAATCACATAACACTCAGATGCTGACGAATAAACGATACTATCGACTTGTTCCCCAAAAGCGATCTTGCGCGTTGCCCAACCACTATCGAACCGTGTGTTCGAAGGCAACCTCGACATTCGAATGACATTCTGTTAAGCGTATTGTCAGTTTCATTGGCAGGTCATACAGAGAAAAGGGGTTATACATCTTCATCAACATATGCAAATCCACGTTCACAGGCGGCAATGTGGAATCCGCTCAAACTTTGAACAGCTTTACCACGCAGTCGTAAAACATGTGGCCGTGCGATGGCTGATTTTAGGATGAAGCATGGATTATGCCCGGACATAAACACTGTTTTATACCCACAAACGTCGGGTAGTGCACGAAGACGTTTGCATGATGAAGGACAACGGTTAATATCCTGGTTTACACCCGGGTCGGTTAGAGGGCCCATAACAACATGGTTCACTGCTTTAAGGAATCGCAATCCGGACTGTCCGCATTCACCAGCGACGCGGTATGGTTCATATAAAACTAGATCGTCGTGTTTTGTACGTAACTAAGAGGGTTTTAGACAGAAACTTGCAACAAGAATGGCTGGACTAGTTGGGACATACGATCATATAGGGAGATTTGTGAATAGAGTCTCCAAGGTCGGCAATTAAGAGTTCGGCTAATGTCACTCGATTCACTGGTCGTCTAGAAGAGGATTCATATGGTAAATTTGATGGCAAAAGATTTAAGTTATCCACACGGCATGATGGCTCCGAAGTGTTCGGGAGCCGGAAAATCTACGATCACTAATTAGCTTGTAATACTTACTGCTGTTGTTCAGGGAGGAGAGACTTACGGAAAGGTTCCCATCACCATCTAGTAGAAACAACAGTATATTAGGGCCCGTCTCATTTTCAATGTCAGAGTCAGAGAAGAATATATTCATTTTATCTTCGTACAAACAGCCAGAAATCCACTTTCCGGAGGCTGCCGAGCCTTGTACTTCAACCTCATCCAGATCCCCGTTCTTATCCGTCTGTAAGATCAGGAGAGAGTGGTCGTCACGAATAGTCAACAGGTAGGGTTCGGCAAAGCTTGCCTGAATAACAGTACGCTCTTCGCTTGTATCCTCATCCCAGACAGGGTATATCTGGGCTAATCCAAGATCTATTTTGTATCAGGTATTGGTCTTTTTTTAGGAACAAAAGTACATATTTATGCGTATGGACTCACTGTAGTCATAACTCCGGATTTCTGTCCGTAAGACCTGAACAACTCTTGTGCCGGCAGCGAGTGTCCCTATGTCGATTGTGCAATCTTCATTAGGATTAAACTCTGGAGCATCTATTGAGTCCAGGCCGCTGCTTCCAACTGAGTATACGACCGACTCTTCCTTGTCATCATCTTTAGTCTTTGCGAGAAGTAGGTATTTGTCATAGCTCCGGGATAGCCCAGTATCTTTGGATTTGGGATCTACGACGCGGATGGACCACACTCCATACACATCGTCCATCTTGAGAGAATCAATCGTATATGGGTCTATCTCCCGTTTGAGAACGGCGAGACCGCCAGACTTTCCAAATCCTCGAGCCGCTACTAATTCAAGTGGAGCAGCTATTTCAGGTACACTGTCTCGTTGATCCTTAGATTTTGATTTGGGTGGTTTTCCAAGTGTGATGTCCCTATACGGACCAAGGCTCCATAGTCTATCATACGCTCGAAAAATAAAATCCGCCGGGCTGTCTCCATTGACAACTTGCTTTTCCTGACGGGTACTGGCAAGATTGGCCGAATAAAGGTCATCCTCGTACATGTCGTCATCGTCGCCATCATCGTCCTGTTCTGCCTCATCAGAGAGATCGGCTGCTCCGTTTTCATCCACTCCATCGGCTGCTTTAGAGGGCCTCTTGATTGTAGATGAAGGCCTCGACCAGCCCAGAAGAATAGAGTCTCCTTCTTCGCTTCCGCAAAACAATTTATTGCGTCCAAGGCTAGCAGAACACGTCGGCCTTGCTATCGTTATCGAACCATTCGACTGCTCTGCAACGAAATGGAGTGAGATTCCAGAAACAGACCTTCCGTCCACTTTGAACGACAAGATAGACATCCTCCCATCTGCTAAAATCAGTAGGATATCTCCTGTGCCGCTTCCTAGCTGTTCAATAATGCAGCCTTCAAGTCTCATTTCAAGGTCTGACTGGTCAGCCATTGAGAACGCGGAAGCCTGCCTGGCAAACTCGTTAACCCCCACAGCATTGGTTTTACCCGCTTGGTCAACGTGTACGAGCTCATTGGTTCCGATTAACAACGCTCCTCCAACTGGAGGAGGAAGCGGTACAATTTTGAATACATCACTTGGCAAACGTGAGACAGTGAGGAGTGAGGTAGAAGCCTTTTGCTGCAGATCTAGGGTAAAGATGGAATATGATACAATGTCCTTCCGGTCGATAGTTAAGGAAGTCGATCTGGCAACTTGGGAATAGAGAATTCCAAAGGTTGGCTCTCTGTATTCATGCAAAAACTCCATATGAATTGGATGAGTTAAGGCCGGATCTAGTGCCGTCATAGGCAGCACAAACGAGGGTGCGTACGGCTTATCGTGTGCTGTGTTTTCAGGCGCCGACTTTTGGGGGTCACTAACCACGTCTGCGGAATCATTGCCATTCGGTGTGGCATCATAATCATCCATGACGAGATCATCCCCAGCTTGGTGAAAGGGTAAAATGGCTAAACTGTGGATTCCAAAATTAAAAATCGCACAGTTTCCATTAGGGTCCGCCGTTAAGCTGGAAGGACAACTCCCCAGATCAGGTACCCACGGACTCATATGGCTCTCCTCGCCCTCATAGTAATGGATTGAGATAGTACTTATCCCATGCTTCTCCGGATCCCACTCTATCAAACTGAGCTTCGCATTCCGGCTAGAGACAATGATTGCATCTCCGCCACTTTTAGAGTTCGAGATTTTGACCCTCTGAAGGCTTGTAATAGTACCCGGTACCTCATATTCTGCTGCTAAGACCAACTTTGCATGTTGTGAACGTTCATTTCGACCTTTCTGGTCTGGTTGTGCGGCTGTTGTTGAGCCATAGGTAACATTAACCAATGAAAATACCTGCAGCAAAGAGGTCTTCGCTACAATGAGATTGTTGGAATTTGCTGATATAAAGTTAGCAGAAACAGCGTGCGTTACCCCTGATGGGAGCAGCAGCTCTGTATAGCATTGCATGTTGAGAAGTAGGGAATAGCTTATCAAACCACCATAACGGTTGGCATGACAAGCGAAGCCCAGCGCGATATTCCAATTAATGCGCTTCAATGAATCGTGTTCCTGATGCCCTATACCTAGTCCATCAGGCGTATGATCGAGACACAAACGGGTCGAAGCTGATGTTTTGATGGAAGAAGATTGGACTGATGTTGTCGTCTTTTTCTTTTTTTGACTTTTGTTTCCAGGAACGGTCACGTGCTGACCTCTCTTTTTGTCTTGGCAGTAAATATAACTCTTGACTTCAAGGAAGATCTCATTCATTAACTAATACGAGTATCTTTAACTTGATAACGATGAAAGATTCCCAGAATGTTTCGTTTATTTAACTAACTAGTTTCTATCTTTCCAAATTTTAAGCTTGAATTTTGTCTCCATGGCTATTTAGTCGCATCGCCCCATAATATTGATTATATCGGAGTCTGTGTCTCTGTCTCTCTTCCAATTGACATTCATCTTTGCTGTAACTCTTCGCAGCCGGGTGAATCATTGGCCTTCTTCCTTTAGCTTCTTGTCATCAGCTCTCTTTAGTGAGATATGAGGCATGAGAAAATATGCAAGAATGAAGGCCAACCCCGCAAGGGCCGAGCATATTATGAAAATCACCCGGAAGCCCTTCTGGTACGCTGGAATAAGAACAGAACGGATTCTCTCGACCTCCGCTGGACTCTGCTTTGCCAAGTAGTGGCTTGGGCTTTGTGTTATCTCTTTTGTCTCAGCCTCTGAAAGGAGAAGGGATGAAAGCGAAGATAAGACGATATTATTCCTGCATCATCAACGATCTGAGTTTTGCAACGCCTTTAAGAGGTAAGGACTTACAGGATCGTTCCGGATACTGCTAGGCCCAGCGTAGCGCCGAGGTTTCTCACAAAACTGGAAAGTTGGGCATTCGTCAGTTGCATCGTGCGGGAATACGGGTGCCAGAAGAAACCTACTTGCGGAACGACGTCACAACTGCCATATCCCTCCTGGGAACACCGGCTTGAATAGCAACCAAAGCCCTGTTGGAACAGCCAAGTTAGCATGATCGCTCTAATTGTTCTGATATACGAAGACTTGAGAGTGCTGACTAACGGCTGCAATGTATTTCCAACTCCCACACCAGTAAGTATGCCATACCCAACCTGTTTGCCAATCCCTGATGATGTATCAAGTGTGGAAAAGAGTCCTAGTCCAATGGCCCAGGCAAGCCATCCAAATAGGATGCATTCTCGATATCGGCCTACACGGTGGACAACAAGGCCCGATAAAGTGCTAAACACTGCTATGAAATAAATTAGCATGAGCCCACCAGCCGCGTAACATAATGGCAGGCTATTTGCTTACTTTGGACCAGAATAATGGGTAAAAGGAGGGCTCCCGATTTAGAAGCCGAGTATCCGTGCACAAGCTGATAGAAAGTCGGGATATAATAAATTTGCACAACGAAATTCCATCCGTTGATGAGCATAGTCAGACATGCACCATTTACTATCTTCACACGGAAGATATCCATTGGCACAAGGGGATAATCTGCACCCTTCCACTGCCATAAAACGAAGCACACACCAATAGCAAAACCTACAGTGATCGTAGAAATCACATGGGCTGAATTCCATGCATACTCACCTCCTCCCCATATTAGTCCAAGGATGAAGACGGTAGCCCCAGAAAGGGCCAGGAACACTCCGACGAAATCAATAGCTTTTACCTTGGTTTTCCAGTCGCCGTCAACTTTCCGAAGAGGCATGAAGAATAACACGCAAAGGGCTGTGATTATTGTAAGGGGAAGGTTAAGGCGGAAAATCCACCTCCATGAATCCTGCGATATTGAAGATAGGGCACCTCCAATGACAGGCCCGATGCCGTTTGCTAAAGCCACGACTGCTCCCAGAATTCCCTGGTACTTGCCTCGTTCTCTCAGCGGCACCACATCGCTGACAATCATTTGGGCGACGTTGGCGAGTCCGCCTCCACCAATTCCTGTGAAGGAGCGAAAAATTATCAATTGAATAGCTGTTTGAGCCAGGGAAGAAGCTAGGGATCCAAAGAAGAAGATCGCTAACCCAACGTACAATACGACTTTCCGAGACCAAATGTCGGAAAGGCGTCCGTATACCAGCTGAAAGCATGTAGAGGTCCTGTCCCTAGTTCAGCCACTGTATTCTGAGAAGCCAACTTAGGATATATATTATATTCCTTACAGGAAAAAGCCACCAGCTATCCAACTTGTTTGGGTACCAGCATTCAAATCATCTCCTATAGTCGACAAACTTGCTGCCAGAGTTGTCTGGTCCATCAGTGCAACCAGGTCGACGCTGGCGCATGCTAAGAAAATCTAAGAGGATGTCGGTATCTATCCTCAATCACACAGGAAGCTCACTCCACCATACCGTTATAATCTTGCGAGTCGAAACGTAGTTTGTCTGCTCGTTGAATATGTACATTTGTTTTCCCTTGGTCGGTGTGCACGCTTGTTCACTGTTTTCCGCCATGGTTTCGGTATCTCTTCGTGCAATGATATGACTCATTCTCAGCACGTATGCTAGGGAATGGAATGAGGGACGGCTTGAACAAGCGAAGGCTGCCTCTTTTCCCAGAGCTCCATTCTTCAGGAATGAAGTACTACTGGCTAGATATATAGTTAGTTCATGCGGAGAGAGAGGTATATAGTTAGTTCATGCGGAGAAAGAGGAGCAAACCGTAAATATCTATCGAGTACCCTGGTCGACACTTGCAAACGAGCCGTGGAGTTGTTGAGATACCCTTCTTTCCTAAGTATAAGAGTACTCCGTAGGCTAGCAGGAGATACAGTCCCCCTGACCTCCCTAACCTCCCTACCCCCTAATAACCCAAGTTAAGCCCCTATTGTAAGATAGATATTAGGGGGCTAGGGAAGTCAGGGAGGTAAAGGAGACTATACCTTCTGCTACAGCAGAGATAGGTACTCTTTCCTTAGGAAAGAAGGAAATTCTAGCAACTTGATGTGTCACTCTGTGGCTAGGGGATACAGGTAGAAAACATGGTGTGTATCTCTAAAAGTAAAATAAAACAAGGGTATTCGAGCACTTTTTTTTTTTTTTTTGCAAACAGGGGCATCCGAGTAATTAGGCGTTTCTTTCTAACTATAGAAACCAAGGAAGAATAAAAACTACCTTGAGGGCGGAATACCTAATAACTAAGCTGGCTCGATATCTTTAGGAATCTGTTGGATGCCCCGGAGGAAAATTCCGACGAGGCTTGGGGATGGCTTGGCTCTGGAGTGAGTCTGAAGGTCCTCATTCAGAATAAAGTTCTCCCCGTGAGATAAAATCACGACCCCAGACATTAAGTCACATGAATATGACTTAATCACGGCGATTACCGTTTCTTGAGATGTGATAGGTTACAGTGCAGTGCATGTTCTTTGAGTTCTAGTAGCTGTCCACTCTTCACTAGCAATTACCAGGGACAAGAAACACCGAGCCGTTCCACAGAGAGGATAAGAAAGTGAGAGTTTAGGAGAACTACCTTGAGGGCGGAATACCTAATAACTAAGCTGGCTCGATATCTTTAGGAATCTGTTGGATGCCTCGGAGGAAAATTCCGACGAGGCTTGGGGATGGCTTGGCTCTGGAGTGAGTCTGAAGGTCCTCATTTAGAATAAAGTTCTCCCCGTGAGATAAAATCACGACCCCAGACATTAAGTCACATGAATATGACTTAATCACGGCGATTACCGTTTCTTGAGATGTGATAGGTTACAGTGCAGTGCATGTTCTTTGAGTTCTAGTAGCTGTCCACTCTTCACTAGCAATTGCCAGGGACAAGAAACACCGAGCCGTTCCACAGAGAGGATAAGAAAGTGAGAGTTTAGGAGAACTACCTTGAGGGTATCTGGGAAGGAAGTTCGTATATGCAATTTATTCCTGGATATCGCCTCCATGAAGCAGTATATAATTCATCAGATCCGTCGAAGGAATCTGCTTCCAAGAGCACATACCCTTCCTCCTGACGCCTTCCTACCACATCCATGACCAGTGTTGGTTTAAACCCATATAAAATGGCAAACATAAACCCTCTTAACGTTTACCCCGGGCCAGAGTCGATGAAAAAGTACTTCGACCCAGACTGCCAGCCACCATTGCCTTTGGTCGAGATTCCACAGGCATTAAACCCGTTTTATGACGATGGTGTCCGCATATATGCAAAGATGATGTCCATGCATCCTGCCAATAATGTGAAAGCGATTCCAGGTAAGCAACCAATACCCGTATCCATAGGGTATAATGCAGATGCTAAGGACGGTTATTTCCATAGCTCTGAATCTCTTAGAGGCAGAAGTTGTGCCCGGAAAGACAAAGACCGTCATTGAGTACAGCTCTGGCTCAACAATCGTCTCCATGGCAATGATTGCGAATGTTTTTCACGGCATCAAAGATGTCAGAGCATTTCTGAGCAACAAAACCAGTGATGCGAAGATTAAACTGATGCAGTTCTTCGGTCTCAACATCACCTTGTTCGGTGGTCCCTCACAACCAGAACCGCTAGACGATCGTGGTGGTATCTTTGCTGCACAGAAAATGGCCCTAGAGTCTGATGAGATTATCAATCCGAATCAATATGACAATGACGGCAATTGGGGAGGCCACGTACGATATACGGGGCCCCAGATCTTCAAGCAGCTCCCAGAAATCAACGTTTTATGTTCTGGTATGGGCACCAGCGGCACCATGACTGGACTGGGAACATATTTCAAGAAGGTTAAGCCATCAGTTTTGAGAGTGGGAGTCTGCACGGCACCAGGCGATCGTGTCCCGGGACCCAGATCGTACGCGCTCATGTCTCCCGTCCCATTTCCATGGCAATCAGCAGTGGATGTCATCGAAGAAGTCGGATCTCAAGAATCCTTCTCATTATCTCTCAAGCTATGTCGACACGGGCTAGTTTGTGGTCCCTCAACAGGATTTAGCCTGCAGGGCCTTTGCCAGCAACTCCAAAAACGCAAGGATGCAGGGACACTATCCAGCCTTGCAGGTCCAGACGGAAAAATACATTGCGTGTTCCTGTGTTGCGATTTGCCCTATCAGTACATACAAGAGTATTTTGATAAGCTGAAGGCAGAAGATTTCCACTCGATAAAGAATGAGGCAAGTTTCCTTCAAGCCATATCAAGTTAATCAGCAATAAGCTAACACAATACGGGTTATAGAATCTCCGCAAAGTCGACCTTTATCGCTATGATGATGCCTGGGAGAGCCATTCCGCAAAGATTCTTGCAGAATTTTATGAGAGGCTCCCTGCCAGTGGCCCAGTGTTCGGTATTGGGAGGGCAGATGGGTTTGATGGCCTTAAGCTCAAACTAGACCACTCGCGATGCGTAATCGACTTACGAAAGCCCGCCGATTTCAAGCAGTGGCATCTGCCCCAAGCCATAAATGCTCCTCTTGATACTCTTGAAAAGAGCACCACATCACCTTTTGCTGACTCTGCTGTTCTAGAGGCTCAGTGGCTGGAGATTGAGGGTTGGTTCAGTCAGAGCGGGGAGAAGTCCGCCTTACTGAAAGAACTGAAGGAGAATAACACTCGTGTTTTGCTAGCCTGTTACAGCGGAAACACATCGAGGGTGGCATGCAGTATCCTCCGAGCGAAGGGTATCGAGGCATGGTGCATCTGCGGTGGCTACAAGGCCCTGGCTGACCCCGAGTTGGCTCTAGTGGGGTTGCGTGACGCTGAGCCGAGCATCTCGAATAGCGTTCATCCCCAGTTAAGACCCATCAGGATCAACTAAGGGAGCCAAAATTGTCAGAAATGACATTATTTCCATGGATTTAAACGAATGTACGGGATAATGACGTTGACATTGACCTTGACGTTGGGTGTTGTTGATGATGCCAAGGTTGACCCTGCGTCCAACGCCAAGCCTGGCGGATGGCTCGATCGCAGTCTAACTAAGCGCCTGCTAAGCCCCAAACAGAGTTATTTGCCAAGGCGGACGCTAACCCCCAAAATGCTATTAAGACTTTACGATGTTCTCGAGTTGTTGAATAGTTTGATAAACAAGTGTCAAGATATATAGCTTAGTTAGCTTGCGTTTACATATTGAGTACTATAAATTGTATATATAACTACTTTCAAATATATTAATTTAAATCACTTATTATATATAAATTATTATTTTTTTTCATTATTTGTAGCATCATCGTCAGCCGAGACCGCATTGACTTTTCTTTCTTCAACGCTATACTACGCTCATTGTTATATCTTTTTCAAAGTTCCCACCCACTTCGTTAACAGATTATTGACCTAATGCTCACCATTAAGTTGAGAACAATTTTCAATGTTAACAGCTTTTAGATGCATCATACGATAGCCACATTCCCTTGATGGCGGGATTGGTGACAGGCACGGAACCCCATATACCAGGGTGAGCATATGGGTTTACATTGCACTTACAGGAAGGAATTACCTATACAGTCCAGGGAATGTTACTGGGTCGGCAGACTACTTCTTGGATGAAGGGCAGCTACCGGGAGTATACCTGCAAGCCAGCGGCCCAGGGCACAGTGTTATATGGGATTTAATATTCACCGAGACCTCAAAAATTGTGACTGTTTTACATAACCTTCAGAAACATGTTTGGTCAAGTTGATAACCACCAAGCTTCCGCGTCACCAATAGTCAATCAGTTTCTATAAAGAATACAGGGATTAAAAGTCAGAAGAGCGTCGCTCGGCTACCCATGACGATGGTGAAATAGTATCATTCTATCGCATATCGTATGCCGGACAGCCCAGTAGGTAGCCATCCTCACCAAGATTATTTAGAGAGTGTTAATTTAATAGTTATTGACCATGTAACAATAATCATATTAGTAGATAACATGAGTTTCATATGTTCGCTTTTTTATTACAAAGAAACCATGATATATACATTGGGAGAATATAGCTCCACCTATAGACATCTTCAGCTAGCCTGCCTATTCTCAATCTAGTCGATATAGAGCCACTAGACACGTCGAAAGGTACGACCTGTTTAAATATCCGGCGTCCCATAACGTCTATAACTATGGCAAAGACGTTATGGCTTAGCTCCGTCCGTGGACTGGGCGGCTGGGGCCGGCATCATGGCCTTCGCCCAAATACCGCAGACACTCAACCGCGGTCCACCGAACATCTGGAGTACAAAGCATATGCTTTACTAGCTCTCCGAAATACCCATGCAACGAGCTAGCTTCTGATAGCAGCCTTTCATAGTATTTGGCTTCTTGTGCACGATCCCGAGCACGGAAAAAGCACTGAGCTTCTCTCTTGGGAAATCGTCGGAGGAGGGAAAGGGCAGTTACCCCAAGAGACCAAATATCTGCTATATAAGAATACCCACGGCCAAGATATACTTCCACGGCAACGTGAGTTAACTGGCCACCATTTGTGGCTCCTTCTCTGCTGGTAACTGCCAGGCCAAAATCTGCGAGACATACATGCAATGGGGATATTGACTTCAGCAATATATTGTCCTCTTTTATATCTCGATGGAATAAGGCCATCTCTTCGAGATATTTGAGGGCCCTGAGGCATTGATGAACAACTTTTAGGGCCTCTTGCGTAGAAAAGTTATAATTCTCCAGCGAGCCAAGAGGATGGTACGCCATAATCAAACAGTTTGGTCTCTGGTTGAGATAAAAATGGCTGGTAATGTACTCGATAATGTTTGGCTTGGATAATGTCAGTAGCGAGTTCAGGTGCCAGGATACAGAAGTTTAGACTTACATGATGCAGTCTCTTGAGGATAGCAACCTCTCGCAAGAGAGCTTCTTGCGCTCCAGGGTCCACTGCTACCTTGCATGCAAATTTTTCCCTTGTAAGCCGAGACTCAAAGAGGTAAACGGCGCCAAAAGAGCCATTTCCGAGCTTCTTGATCCATTTGAATTTTCTTCGGAACTCAGGAGATGTGTCCTTGGTGGGATCCATAATGACAGAACGCCGTATGGTTAGAATTGGCAGGGGTTTAGGAGTAAATGTGGACGTGTAGCTAATCCAAAAGAATCTTTGTTATACTGTGGTATTCCGAGGCAGTTGTGTAAACAAGGGCCAACGAAGAGGATTTTATATAGGTTTTATAGCCCGTCAAGGAAGCCCGATGACTTCCCATGGTGAACAGAAAAGTGCTTGTGGACATTCATAGACGCTTCTGGATTAGGAACGTGCCGATCGTATATTTGCAAATCTCACTGTCCTAGTATATAGTCGATTCATTTTGAAGAATGTCTTCCCGCTACATATAGTGACCGAGGAGCGAGCGTTCAGAATATAAAAGGGGGGTGGCAATATGGCATGGCTAAGATATAAGGCCTGACTGGTGCAGATGAATGTATACAGTCACAGAGATGGGGATCCATTGACTCTAATGTAGAGGCACTTGCATCATAGTTATATAGCTAAATAAAATGTATGAAAAGCAGGACTGATTCATTATAGTTTATGCTTGCCCCATCCCAGCCATCACTCTAGATGTTTGTTAGAAGGGGTATTCGTTTGCTTCACCATGCCGTAGGGTATTGAAAATGTTCACTAAATAAAAGAACCATTTAATGTCTTAAGATAGTTTGAATAATCAAACTATGTATACGATCTGTAATTAGACGTTTCCAACCATCTACACTCTATTAGAGCAAATAATAGAAAGCTAAACGCTGAGGTTGAAAAAGAGGCTGAAATTATGTTAATCGAATGCGGAAACTTTACCGCTTTTAGCAGGAATTGAAGCTAACCTTTCCGGTCGAACCTTATTTGCTCTGTTTTTACTTTTTTTCAGTATCAAAAGTTTATCCTGGGGGTTTTCTAAGAGATGCTGAATCAAAAAGATACAGTAGAAGTTTGCATCAATAAATGTAAAGCGAAGTGCTCGGAATATATTTGTTATCATCTACAGTATAAAGTAACTTTGAGTGCTAAGTGGATTGCTAGTAGATACAATGGAGCCTATGTGTATTGGATAGCATTCGTTTGCCAAACTATGTCGACACTGCCTCATGGTTTGATCCTCTGGAATGTAATTACAGCGAACCTGTATCTAGTCTACATTATATAGCTGCTGCTATCTCCATAAATTAACGAATACCGGTTTCGAGTAAATAATATGTCATCCTGTGCAGTCCAACAAATATGGCCAAAGGCTCGAACACCCCATCCCGAAAGGGATCCTCCTCCGAATCTCATGAATGCAAGGTAAAGCCTCTCAACTGGAATAAGGAAAAATCTCCAAAGAGCAAGAAAAAGTCAAAAGATAAACCGACAATCCCTGCTCCAATCATGGTCGTGGATGCAGGACTCGCAGCCCAGCGGACAAGAGGGATCCTACCGATCCATCCTGGTACACAAGATAAGCTGCCCAATCACCAGACGTTAAGAAGTGACAGTCACCCAGATGTACCTGAATCCAGAGAGACTGAGACGTCGACACAGGCTCCTTGGCACCATCCAGAGCCACTTTACAGTCGAGATGAACCTTCATCGGCAAGTCACCCAAGCCCAGTTCGAACAAGGGATCATCCAGACATATATGAAGGGGAATCGTATGTGTATTACTTGTCCTTTATCTTTGAAAGGTAATAAATCAAATGCAATTAACACAGCGATATTAGGTATGAGAATAGTTGTGGTCCTAATTTTGAGGTCTACCATGCACCAAACAGTAACTCGGTTTCCCCGGCGGAAAGCTGGGATAATTGCAGCGAATATGATGAAAATACCTCAGCTACGCCCCGGCCGGCCCCGGTAACGATACGCCGTCGTATGCCAGTTGACGTTGATTTTGGACGTGAACCTAGACTAGCTGTCAACATTGTGCAGAACAACAGAAATGAATCTAGTCAAGCCTCTAGGGCTGTCCAAACTCATGAATTAGAAAGCCAAGAAAGTTCCCCGGTTGGAGACTCTCAACGTATGGGTAAGTTTACCCTCCCTGCACCATGGTGCCATGGGGCTAACGTATTCGTTTAGAGGTGGTATATATCCATACGGATCCATTTATTTTTCTGGAGATAGGGGCCATTTTTGTCCTTCTTGCCTTGATTATTGCCTATTTCATTCATTTTTTCACTTAATGTCATGTATTTGCCGTTGGCTCTTCCATCTTTAGTCAATCAACGTCGTTTCAATCACATACATGATATCCTTCAGCCATCATATTATTTATCTAATTTGTAAATTCGCTGATATCAGGGTATCTCAGGTCGGCATTCTCTTCTAAAAAGGCCATCCACCTCTTGAGGAACGGTGATCCACTGCATAGATGTCAGCATATAATCACTAGAATGGTTAATTTGGATATAATGAAAACCCACCTGCTAACAGTTTCTGAGTCTCCACAGATACACAGATGCCGTCTGGGACGGGTCATTGCAACTGCCCTAGTCAGCACAGAGAAATTGAAGGTCAATAATGGCCAAGGGTAACATACCATTCAATCTCCTTTTCTCTCCTAAGAATCCTACTTCATGGTCCTGATTACTCCTGACCAGGCTTACTACAACCGCCTCCTTTTCACGGCCCTGGAAACCATCCACGCTACCAAGTTCAAGGGTAGGAAACTTCTCTTTTAGAAGCTGAGACAATAAAGCAACTTGTGCATTATAAGGCGTAATGACAGCAATGTCCTCGGGTCTGACGCCAGCCGAAACCAAATTCTCAACATGCCTCGCGACAACGGCTGCCTCCATGTCGTTACACTTACTTTCAACAAGGAGAGACTTGGCGGATATGCCATTTGAATCAGGGGATTTTTCGAGGAAGTCTCCACCCTGTGTGTCGTAGAACACCAAAGGTTCTCTGGTGTCATCTGTATCCTCAACCTCATAGTGGAGGTCCTTGAGAAGTCTTTCCCTGACTGCATCGGCAGCAATGAGCTTAGACTCATATAATTCGTCAGAAGGAAAGTCCATTATTTTCTGATGCATGCGGTATTGAGTAGTGAGCATCCTCTTTATCCCCGTTCCATGGAGAGAGAGTAGCCTATCAAACAGTGTTATTTCCAAATTTCGCATATCAAACGTATTGGAGAGCTCGTTAAAATGGAGGTCTTCTTTTTTGTCCCATAATGCAGAGTTGATCTGATATAAATTGCTTGATGACTTTGACTTTATCGTTGGAGGGAGTTGAAGATGATCTCCTGCCAATACAACTCTAGAAGCAGGGAGTAATGGAATCCAACATTGAGCTTCTCGGGCTTGACTCGCCTCATCGATAAGCACAACGTCGAATTTCTGGTTCTTGAGTTGATGTCCTCCAGCTCCATGGAGTGTTCCGAGTACAACCTGGCTACCAGAAACAATATTATCGACGCACTTCGATTCACGCTCTCTGAACTCTTTGCGAAGCTCTTTGAGATCACCGTAGATAGCTCGACGTTCTCTCCCGTTCCTAGTCTTGCGAATACTGGCTTGCTTTGAATCGATTTCCTTCCGGACATCCTTCACGATAGCAGCAGCTTCGGAAGTTTGGGAGAGTACTTCTAGCGAATGATCTAGGACAGAAGAGAGTAGACGCGCTGGATGCCCTACGCGAACCAACGGTACCTTATGCGAGGCAAGACGCTCGACTATATTGTCAACGGAGATATTTGACGGGCCACAGACTAAAACTCGCTTCTTACGTTGAACTAGCTGGCGAATAAGTTCAATGAGCGTGTGAGTCTTTCCTGTGCCTGGCGGTCCATGGATGAGCGCTATCTCTCTTGATGCCAGAGCAAAGCGAATAGCTTCTTTCTGGGAGTCGTTGAGTGACGGATCCATGAACTCCAGGGGACCAACGGATTCAAAATCCAAAGGTAAGGGCGTAGTATGCCCGAATAGCACTCTGATCAGCTGGGAATGCTCTGATTCCTGCAACTTCTCCAGCTTGGCCATCGTTTGGTTCATACTGCACGGGTATCAGTATTCTCACGCCAGCTGGATGTAGGAGGCCACTCACCGTCTGTAAGTAACATCGTTCGCCAGCTTGACTCTATATTCAGTCAGTATAATTGCGATCGATACATAGGCAGATAGAATATCAAAAGACGTACAGCCAGAGCTTGCGTCCCCAGAGCTCGTCGACACCGTCTTCATCCTGCTTGCCTTTGCCACGATCCCCAAAGGCAGCCCAAATAGATCTCTCTCCAACACGAGTGACGACACCTTCAAGGCCTCTCTGATTCTTGTCGTCGTCTTGCCCGGCCTTGGATTTGGCCGCTGTTTTGCCAGAAGCAATCTCCTCGACGCGGACGATATCCCCCACCGTGATGCCATGGACACCTAGCCGGGTATTATCCTCGTCCTTGCTGGCGCCCTTTGCACGCCCAGAGCTAGAGAGAGCAGTATCGAGACCGAACTCTCCTACTTCTCGGCCGCCCATGCCTGTCCGGCAGTTGGTGAGGACCATGCCAGTGAGCGCATGGCCGGCATTCTGCAGAGCCCGCCGGGTTGAGGCCGAGGCAGCTGTAGAGCTGGAGGACAGAGGAGAGGAAGCTATCTCGTCTTCATGCTCAGCCAGGAGAAGACGCTGCTGTATTTGTGCAAATTTGGACACCGATATAGGCATATTGATGTTGTTCTAAGATGCTTGATGGTGTTTTGATGAAGCGATGGTGATATTAATTACGATGCAAAATTAATAAATAATCAAAATGGTATCTATAACAAACAGCCAACAATATTCTTACATCTACGTCTCGAGTTTGATCCTTATCTTACTATCCTCGACACCTTCCTTGATACTAAGCTTGATATTACTCTTGGTATCTTCAACTTCGGGAAGATCAGCGTCCTTACTGACGTCCGGTAGATCAATATCCTCCTCCTTGTCCACCTTGACATCAATCTTGCTCTCGACTTCAGGGAAATCAATATCTTCCTCCTTGTCTGTCTTGACCGGGCTAATTCTCTTTCTTGTGCTCTTTAACTTGCCCTTGATCTCTGCTATACACAATCCCGTACCTGAGAGGTCACACTCGGTACACCGTCTGCCAACCGGCAGGCAAACCGTCTGTCCGAGCCCAACGAGCAGCTTGTTAATCTCATGCCACTTGTCCCTGGGCAGCCAGCTCTCGAGAGCAGCCCGTGTAGCCTCTGGGGTCTTGGTCTTGTTCCATCCCCATAGATTGGTAATGCGGTGGACATGGACGTCCACGCCGATGCCTTCATGCTTGTTCCACGCCGAGCTCATGCAGAGATACGCCATCTTTGGTCCCACGCCAGGCAGGCTTATCAACCCCTCTACGGTCGACGGTATGTCTGAGTCGAACTGGTCTCGCAGGATCTCAGCGGTGGCCTTGATGTACCGTGTCTTGTTGTTATGGAACCCAACGGCCCTGATGAGCTCGTTCAGCCGCTCTGGAGACACGGCCAGCATGTTCTCGAGGGTCAGCGTGCTAGTAGTCTTCTGGTGATCGCGGTCCCAGACCTCTGCCACCGGATTGTCGCTCGTCTCGTCCGTGAGCTGAGTGTGCAGTCTTAGCATTGTGGCAGCCGTGACGGTGTCTTTGGTCTGGGAGGAGAGCATGAGGGCGATCAGCGTGTGGAACCGCCTGTCTCGGGGCGAGGACGACCGCCAGTACAGCTCTGAGCATCCCATCGTGTCGACGGGGGCTGTGGGATTGCGTTCTCGCATGCGCTTGACGGTCTCGTAGACGGCCTGCCAGTTCGGAGGGCCCTTTATATCGATTCCTGGCTCATCCTTGACGCTCTTCACGGTCTTGACAATGCTATCTTCGGCCTTTACAGCCCTACCCGCCCTTGTAGCTGCTCTCTTCCGCTTCCTCGTCGCCGTCAGCAGGTCTTCGATGTCTGTCGTAGGGGGGGAAGAGAGGCCTGAACTCGCGTCCTCCTCCTTTTTGACCGGCTCTTCTTCCCTCTTGACGGCCCGTCTGCGTGAAGTCAAGCTCTCAGCCACCTTTGCTGCCTCCCACGAGACCCTCGACGTCCGCATCCCGTCTTCTTTTTCTTCTTCTTCGTCTCTTCGTCTTCCGTCTTGAGCTGCTGGTTGTTGTTTGCCGCGTCCATCTATCTGCTGCCGGCTAAAGCCACCGCCCAGCCACAACCTCGGCATCTCGGAAGCCTCCAAAAGTCGAAACATCCAGCAACGACGACGACGACGAGGAGCATTCTACAGCGATAACTCGAGCATCAAACAGGCGAAGATGACGGATATTCCGGCCTCGACGACGAAGCGGCTCCTGCGCGAGCTCAAAGAGTACTCAAAGTCGCCCAATGACGCCCTGCTGTCCCTCGCGCCCGTCAGCGACGACGACCTCCTGCACTGGGAGGCCGTCCTCAAGGGCGTCCCAGACTCTCCCTACGAAGGTACGGCTTGAATCTCTGCTCTACTGCTGTTAATCTGTCCTGCTATCTGTCTGTACAACTGCTAACTGAGTGGCTTGCTGGCCTCTAGACGGCCTCTGGCTGCTGCGCATCGCGGTGCCGACGACGTATCCCATGCACCCGCCCAAGATCACCTTCGCAACGCCCATCTGCCATCCCAACATCTCCTTCTCGACCGGCGAGATCTGCCTGACACTGCTCACGTCGGAGCACTGGTCGCCCGTCTACACCATCTCCAGCACCCTGTCGGCGATACACCAGCTGCTGACCGACCCCAGCCCGGATTCGCCGCTCAACGTCGACGTCGCGGCCCTGTTGCGAGACGGCGACCTGCTGGGGTGGACACGGCTGGTGAAGTACTGGACGGCCACGGAGCGGTGGAACAACGTCCAACAGCGACGGTAGAAAGCAGCAGTGTCAAATCTCTCTCTTTCTCTGCTGTCTCTTGTAACCGCCGTTCGTGTGCAGCCTGGCAAGTTCGTCCGTTTTCGCCCGCCGCTCACGTTCGTCCCATGGCGTACGGTGCTCGTACTCCCGCCCAGTCGCAGGGTCGGCAGCTCCTTGGGCTCCGCCTGCATGCCAGGCTGAAAAAGAGGACAAAGACAGACTCTCGCTTCCTGACTGGCTGCTCGAGGCCATCTCCACGCCTGTCTAATAGGCTGGGGAACTCTAGCGAGCGGCCCGTCAGCTCACTAGTCGAGCCAAAAATGCCCCCAAGTCGCCTCCACTACGAGTCTAGTCAGAGTCCGTTGGAGGGCTCCGTCGTTTCTCCCTTTCTTTCTCTTTTCTTTATGTCTGTCTTCCTGTGGGTTAGGATTGTTCTACTCAAGCTGGCCCTCACCGGGAATCTTTGGACAGGGGGGTTTTCGGGCTTCTGCAGCTGTGAATGGCGGATTAAATATAAAGAATCTAAACGGAAGATGCCTTGATCGTGATTCCTTGTTGATATTCTCCGTACCCCCCGCATGTTCTAGTCTTTGATCTACTATTCTGCTTTTTTTTTTTTTTTTTCTGAATTTTTTTTATCATCTTTCTTTTTGGTCGTCTATCAAAAGACGGACAACTTCTTACTACCTCCCTTGATATAGGGAGTACAGCCCAACATCCACCCGACTCAACCCTCAACTTCCACTCTCCCGTCACCAAACGCACGATACGGAGTAAGATATATAAATATACAATAAGATGGCTGGCGAAGGTGATTCAAACCGCTCCATACTTGCATACATCACCGGTCCAAGCTAACTCCCGCCAGTCCCCATGGTCGCCTCGAACGAGGTGATTGTCATCGACGAGTCGGTATGCCCCACCCCCCCCCCCCCCGGGAAAAATTATCATGGATTATAAGCCCAAGAGGGAACCCAGGGTAATGTTTCTGTTGTTTTTAGAAAAGGAGTGGGGAAGAGGTACAAACCCCCGCCGGGGCGCTACCACCACCCGGGGGGGGGGGAAAATAACAAAAAAAAAGGCTCTTCTGCGGGACAACTCTTTCATATATAAAGGCGGGTAGGGGGGGGATGAGTAGGTATCTTCTCCTTACGGGTCGCCGTCCGATGGTTGAAAGACGTAACACAAAGGGAGTGGGGCGGTGTCGACCCCTCTGTGGGGTTTTTACCCCCCCCGGGGGGTGTGACATAAAAAAAAAAATATCTCTCTGCTGTTGGAAGGAGTTGCTTTTAGTAAGGTTGGGGGAGGGGGGGGAGTATTCTCTTGATCTCCCCCCCACCCCGAACAGCACGACCGATCAGCTGAAGATAAGAAAAAGGAAAAAAGAGTGTTGGCGTCGTTGTTGTTTCCCACACAACCGGGCGGAGGG